GGGGTGGGGAACATTCCTTTGAAGCCTGCTCATCCTGCATATCTATCACTGCTTCTAATCTTGACCATATGCAGGATTCTAAAACTTAAGGTAATGGACAGCCCCTGGCTGTGCTATCAGAGTTATGCTTCAGTGAGGACAATTAAATTCTTCTGAGAACACTTTTCCCATGAAGTCTTTGCCCCACATGCTTTTTCTGCTTCACAGATTTCTCTACGAGCGCCACGAGCAGTCCAAGCAAGACCTCAAGGGGCTGGAGGAAACCGTTGTAAGCATCCCAAAAGGCAGTATTCTTTCATTCCTAGTGAATAGGCTCAAGTCTGTGGCGGCAGCAGCATCCGGTACAAGGAGGACTCTGTTATATGATGGCCACTTTTTAGGGCTCCCAGCTGTTGTAAAGAAACCTGAAAGATTGTCCCTTTCCCCGCATCTTGTGGCCTTTTTTATTCCATTCCCCTTCATGGTGAAATATTTTTTTTAAATCTATAGTGAAGTGATTGTGATTCGCACTACCGAAGAAAGATTTGGAGGGAGAGCTTACTCACTACTAATCTGTTTGTCTTTTGTCCTCCTTGTGGGGCTATGTTTGAGGGGAGTTAAAACTGCTAAGGCACATAGACAGACATTTTCAGAGTCTCTCTAGAATTACCTAGAGTGTATGTTGTAAAACAACTAATTACCTCATAAGTAATTTGCACATTAGCTGATTTTATCCACAGAGAACAGCAGTTTTTCTGATTGGGGCTAAATCTGACCAGATTTGGTTAAGCAAGTGACTAACGTAGCTTAAAGGGTTTACATAATATGCTCCCCTTCTGTGACCCAGTTATATGAGTTTTGTGAATAGAACCAGTGGAAGAGAACAGGGAGGCTAAAACATCTCAGCTTGCCTTTCTTATGTGTGTGCCCTTTCTAGGCCCGTGAACTCCAGACCCTCCACAACCTTCGCAAGCTGTTCGTTCAAGACGTCACGACTCGAGTTAAGAAAGTAGGTAGCTCTTGAAACTCATTGAAAATTTGTGAATCTTTGAAATGCTTTATCTTTGAAAAATAGCTTTATAAAAACCTCTTAAAGTGGGGACTAGCAATTCTGTCCCCAAATTGCAGGTTGCAGTAAGAAGGTAAGGTGTGAGATATTGTATTTGCCTAAAGCCACCACCTGAAGTCATTGCAAGGATGGGATTTGATGTGAAAGCAAATCTATGTTGATGTGCCATCTCTCTTAGCTATTATTCCAAACTAGTTAGACTCCCTGTAATTCCTCTGACCTACTAATAACTGTAAAATTAAGTAATCTTAGTGTTATAGGTTTGGAGCCTCAACCCAGTCTTAGGAAGCCCTTTGTGCAAGTTAGATGTGTTCTTTCCATTGTGAAGAAAATCCACTTTCTTCTAATTTCCCCACCCAGTTTTGAATCTTTGCTCAAATTAAGGCAGAAAATGGTTCTGTTGAACGTTTCCCAGTGAGGTTACATTAAATTCACAGTCATTCCCAATTCTGGAACCGATTCTTGCCATTCTTTTTCTTATATGATGCACATTTTACACTTGGAATTACAGTTCTTTGTGGAGGTAACTAAAGAATAAATTTTAGCGTGGACCAATCCAAATAGTTTTATTTGGGCTTTGCGCTGCTGGTGTCATTGCTGTACAGGATCTTTCTCTGTTCCCATCTCCTTCACTGCTGCAGAGATAAATATCTTCTTGCTCCTTCTTTCCAGAGTGCGGAGTTGGAACCCGAGGACAGTGGGGGGGCTCATTCCCAGAAACAGAAGATTTCCTTTCTTGAGAACAACCTGGAACAGCTTACAAAAGTTCACAAACAGGTGAGTCGCTGAATGAGAACCACAAAGAGGGATGGAGCAGATGGAGAGAAGGACAGCTAGTGAATTCAGTGCTGTTTTTGTTCCTCATACAGTAGTTAGGATGGGAATCTTTTTCTCTGTCTCCATTTTGCAGTCACTATGTATTGTAGCAGCATTGTGTGTTCATAAGGCCATCTGGATGCTCAATGTTTTTCATTCACCTAGGACTCATCTGGCACAAATCTGTGCGTGGACATGTTATTTGCTTGTTTTGGAGTTCACAATGCAGGATCAATATATTGCCAGACCTATTCTTTGACTCTTTCTATAATAAAATTCCTGCACATATCTGTTCCCATTCAATATTAAGTCTGGTGGGGAATTGGCAAGCCTGATAGATATTGCTGAATGATAAACTCCTGGAATTTATTTATTTCCCGCCCTTACTATTTTTAGAAATAATTCAAGGCAGTGAACATACCTAATAGTCCTTTTTTTGTCCTTGTTTCCCCACAACAAGCCTGTGAAATAGGTTGGACTGAGAAAAGAGTAACTAATGCAAAGTCACCTAACCAGCTTTTCATATCTAAGGCAGGACTAGAACTCAGTCTCCTGGTTTCTTAACTATTGCACCAAACTGGATAAAAACGTGGTCAGTTTTAATCAGGCTGCAAGGCTGGTTATAAAATAGAGTTCACCAAATTTAGAAGGCAACAGGTTTCTTCTTCCTACTTTCCCATCAAAATAGAACTTTTTCTAACACCAGATTGAGAGCCCATTGATCCCAAAACTCATCACAAAGTCTTGGCTTGTACTGAGCCGACTCTTGTTTTCTGCTAATCCATAATAATTTGCCCTTCATACTGTATCAGTATCCTTGATTATTTGGCAAGCCAATCCTGTGGATCAGTCAGAAGATGGTTTGGGAGTTTAAGGGAGAAGAGTTGTGTGCTCATTTCTTTTATCACACACACGCATGAGGGTGTATTTCTGAGTGTGTGGCAATTCACAGGGATTATTCTAGCATGTTTATGTCTAGATAAATTATGCTTATGTATAGAAAGAAGAAATATAACATTGTAAAAAAATAGAAACCTATGTGTCAAAATAAGATCTTGTGAGAAAAGGATATGTAGAGAATTCAGTAAGGGTTTCCACAAATTACTGCATGGTGTGCTTATTGCTGTGTCTTCATGTAAGCATTAGAAGGAAATACTATTAGGCATATAAATAAGGCAGCAGAGGAAAAGAGTTAGGAAGAAAAACCTAATACATTATCTAACTCGGTGAAATGCACGTACATGGTTTGTGTATATTCATTGGCTCTTTGCTTATAGCTTCATACATTATATTTCAGTGATGGATAGGCAAATTAGGGCCCTCTGGAAGTTTTACGATGTAACTTAACTATTTGCTCAGTTGCTTGGCCTATATTAACACTTCAGTCACTAATGTCTCTGGAGGTATACATAGCACCATCTGTAAATTAGTTAGAAGTTTAAACATAGAGAGACCAAATATAGCATAGTGGAGTATGGAGATGGTCTTGAAGAAGGTATGCAACAGCCATTACAAAAAGATTAGATTAGCTTGGGAAGACGGAGTGGAGTGGAGTGGAGTGAGGAAGAAGCTCAAGACTGCCCTGCCTTGATTCACTTTGGTATAAGAGGGAGAGAGAAACTCTTGTCACTCTTTCAAGATTCTATTATTATATCTTATAACAAGGACATAGAGTTCCATTAATTCTTATAAAGTCTGTTTCCTGACATGGTCTACCTTGAAGCTGACCGATATTAACTTAAACATTAAAAATGTTACTTAATTTAAACAATCTTTTGTGATTAGCCATTCTAGCGAAGAGTAATGAGAGTTGAAGTCCAAATAATTAGGGTTGTGTCATTCTATCTTTTCCTCCATAGATTTAGGGTGATACAGATGGGATCTTGCATACATAGAGAAAAGGAGTGAATACAGAATTGATACTTGAAACATGCCACTGGAAGACAATATACAGATTGAGGTCAAGGTTGTCTTTACCACCAAGTCAACATAGATCTGCTACAAGGAGCTCTGAACCAAATTTCTTCAGATTATTTTAATCCACTTTTCTGGATTTGTGTGACACATTGGACTCTAAATAAACCGCCCAGGCCAATTTCACACGAGACAGTAGGCTGATTTGTGGTTCTGTATCAGTGCATTGTGTGAACCCAGCCAAAAACTGTAAGATCCATAGGGCACTCCTATTTCCCTTCTGAAATGATAGATACTCTCCCCTACAATGATCTTTTTGATAGTTAGGGCTTATTGTTTGCCTTTTCCTTACAATTTTCAAGAAATAACCCCTTGAAAAACATTGGCTTTTTTGAGATAGATGTTTCTTGGCATGATTTGCATCCTGTGATAATTTCAAATTAATAAAGTAAAAATGATAAGAAAAGCTATCTAGACATTTGTTGTAGCAACAAGGAAGATTCCAAACAGAGTGAAGGAACCATTCATAAATAATTATGTGTCCTTTTTTTTCAAACTGAAGAGTTGTGAGTGATGAAACACTTGAGAAATATTTATTTAAATGGAGGCAGAAAACCTGAGGAATATGCAGCTGGAGAATGAGCTCATGAAGTTTGCCAAGTTTGTAAATCCAATCATTGATCCATTGAGTTGACAAATACAGACGCCAGAGTTGGCAGCAGACAGTAGAGTGATCCAAAGCCAGTCATAAATTAAAAAACAAGATGTACAGATCATATCAGAGTGAGACAGTTATAATATAAGGCCCATATAATCAAAGCACTGAGATTTTGGGGCATAATGCAACAACAAGGCAGATGTCTGAAGATGTTTCAGTGGGTCTTTCTACAGTTACTGGATTCATCAATGCATATTACATCTAAGAAGCCTGGCCTCAGAATCTTGTACTCTTGCTTAGTTCTTTGTTCTTTCATAACTGTGGCATGGACATATTGCGGGAGTCAGTGAATCTTCTTTAGGATTTGAAGAAGTTGGAGAAATGGGATTTAGTTCAGGTTCTGCCCTAGCAGAGCTCAGGTCTCTAGGGAGGTTTTATAGCCTCCTGATAACTGTTTTCCTTTTTGTCTGCTTCAGACTTGGAGCTCTCATCATCATCTGACACCTTGTTTACTGAGCCTTAAAGGTACTTTTTTCCAGAGGCAACTGGAGTTTCTGAAACTTACCAGAAGCTCCAGTTGCCTCTTGAAAAAAGCGCTTTTGGGACAACCATGGCCTGGATGACTGAGAATGTCAATGTCTGGAATACTCTACCTGACTCTGTAGTTTCTTCCCCAAACCCCAAAAACTTTAACCTTAGACTGTCTACTATTGACCTCACCCCTTTCCTAAGAGGTCTGTAGGGGGTGTGCATAAGCGCACCAATGTGCCTACCGTCCCTGTCCTATTGTTTCTTTTATTTTTCTTATATGTATCCATTTCATGTATTCATAACTATGTTTATACTTATACCTGTTATCTTATAATCGCTCGACAAAATAAATACATTTTAAAAAATCTCCTTAGACCTTGTTTACTGAGATACCAGGGACTCAGTTTGGATTTTCTGCATGCAAAGTAAAAGGTGCATCCACATTTAATGTGTACTCCACAGTAGCAGATTAAAGAATGTCTCTTCCGTGCTTAGCTTTGTTCATGATAAATTACCATTTTTGTCCCTCGGGAATTGTGCCTTCTAGTACAATACAGAAAACACTCCTTACCATCTGGCTCAAGCAGGAATTACCCAGCTCTCTTATCCTGGTTTTTGAATTCTGCTTCCAATTGTATTGGTACTTCAGTACCTCTCCCTTCTGGTTCCTTTTTCCTTCCCAACAGTACTTGCTATGAAACCGTGGCAGCTTTAATTGAAAACCTCACACTTGTTTCCAAGTGCAATTTGGTGAGATTTTGCAGCAGGTCTTGGAAAGTTTCAAACAATGAATGGAATGAAAATAGCAGGAAGTAGAAAGAAAGAAGTGAGGTGGATTTGCATTTCAGGCTAAGGCTATTCATTCCCTCATAAAATCATACATTTACTGAAGTGAGGAAATTCGACAAGGTGGCAAAGTAGCAAGGGATGGTGTGTACTTAGAATGTTGGTAGATATTTGCTTATATCCATTCCCTGCATTGCTTCTCATACCCATCACATATGATTTCCATTACACTTGTTGTGTTCTCCTTCCTCCTCCAATTGTCCCTGCTTACTTTAGCTGAGTAAGATGGTAGAAAGATGCTTCTGCCACATCTCATGCCCCAAAGAGAGAATTTTCCCTATTTTCAGCTCAGGAAAGGAAGGTATTACTCTGATACCAGCAGTCAGAGGCAACAGACATTGCTGAGGTGTAACTTCTTTCTCTCTGGGTTTCCAGAGCAGGGTTTAATTGGGGACTCTGCTGGTGTGCTGAGTCATGTCTGTATCCCCCTTTTCCCATTGCTGCTGTACCCTAGCTGGATCGCTGGGTCTCCAAGGTACCGTACAGCCACTCTCACGTCTTCCTCTGCCTGTTGGGCTGGGCAGGAAATGTTTGCACTTGGTGACCAAATTGGGAGTACAGATATTTATTTGGGGGTGCGGGGGAGGACATTGATTGGGTGGAAAGGTCAGGTGCCTCTCACCATCCCACTGCCATGGCAACTCCATCCCCCTAATGACCCTTTTGCATTAGGTCATAATTTGCTGCCATGGCAACCACTACCATTGTGGCCTTCATATGTGTACAAAGGCCTCATTCTCAGCAGCTTCATGTGTGTGGTTTCTACTATCCATTCTCTTGCCATGGCAATCCTGACCAAATTGTCCTACACAGCATCTGTCACAAAAAGAGAAGGTAAGGCTTAGCTGTTACACCACACTAAAATTTCAACAGCAATGCTCTTTCTTCCGCTACAACATTAAGTAGATTCAGATAAACATTAAAATATTTACAACTAATTCCAGATAATTTCCCAGTTTGAGGCCATATAGCCTCCTTAGTAACAACTAAAATTGATGGAAATTGTAGTCCAACACATCTTGCTGACATCAGATTACAGAAGATTGCCCTACAGTTATCTGGAAAAAACATGGTTCATAAATTCTCACTATATGCTTCACCCCCATTCTGGTTTGATATCGATCTCCGGAAAAGGGAACTAAATATTATTATCTCAAACATTTTCTCTCCCTCCCTTGGAGGCTGGGCTGCCCAGTAGTTTTCCTGCCAATTACTATTGTGCTGCTGGCTGCCTCTTGAGTAATTGTTCATCTCACGCCATTAAGCTGTCACCTCATGTTGCTTACCCACCTGGTGTTTAATTCAAGCTTACATATGGTGAGAGTTAAATGGATCATTGTGACTCTTCAGCTGTTATCTCCCGACCTTGCATTTCATAAAATGTTCCCACCCCAGCATGGTGCATGGCTTGGATCTGTAGCACTTGGGGCCTGCTTAATGGGAACAAGGGATGGGTGTCACTTATAGAGGGCAGTGACTTATCACCAGCATCTGTGTCAACTATAGGTTGCTTTTAATAGATGTACAACAGAGAGATTTTTTTGAGTGATTTTTGAAAGGCCTCCAAGCTCTGCTACTTTTCACTCTGACATTCCTCAGGGCCAGCTCCATAGGATTTTTCCATCATGGTGTTCAGAAGTAGGGCAAGAGTAAACATAAACCTTGTTCTCGCAAATTGAGATGTTGGCTTTGAACATGCCCTTCATATTTTGCCCTGAGGGGTATATTCAGACATTCCAACAAAATCTATGATACAAGGGGATAAGAAGCAATGTAGTAGTTCCCCTCTACAAAAAAAAATCAGGCTTCTGAGGTGTGAGATTTCCAGGTTGATCAGATTGGGCAGAATTAGCACAAACTGTGTGTTTTTCTGGAAAGGGCAGAATGTAAGAAAGCAGAGCAGAACCATTTTGGGATTGGAAGCACAAGCAAATGTTTCAGGTCTTGGGGAATGGCGTGCCTACCTACATCCACTTCACCTCCATTACTCTTCTTTCCCTTTCTTGTCAACTTGGGGCCCAGCTGGTTCGTGACAATGCAGATCTGCGTTGTGAGCTTCCTAAACTGGAGAAACGTCTTCGGGCTACGGCTGAGAGAGTTAAGGCCCTGGAGGGTGCACTGAAGGAAGCCAAGGAAGGGGCAATGAAAGACAAGCGCCGCTACCAACAGGAGGTAGACCGCATCAAGGAAGCAGTGCGCTTCAAAAACAGCATTAAGCGCAACCACTCTGCACAGATTGGTAAGCAAACAAATTCTGCAGTTTGGGGGTCCGTTCCTGTGAGCATGGAGACATTTCAGTGTAGTAGGTATATTATTGATATATGTTCTAGGAAGGAACAAATATCTCTTCTACTTGGCTGAAGGTGTATATTCCAGGAAATCATAATGTAGTATTTGGTAATGCTGTGCAGTACTTTCGATTCTATTCGGAAAAGGTAGTTTGGAAGATGGGAGTGTCACTGCTGCATCAATCTGAAATTTCTTAAAGCAATCTATCATTTTCCACGGCAGTTTCTGCTATAGGCATATGATCCTTAAGATTTTACAAGTAGTCAACTTACAACTGTTCATTTAATGACCATTTGAAGGTACGACAGTCTCGAGAAGAATTCTTCACAGTTCATAAACTGGATGTTGTGAAACATCACACATACATACCCCATGATCATGTGAGCTGGGTGCTTGGGAACTTGTTTGCACTTACAACTAGTTGCCAAGTGCCCCATGACCACGTGATCACAATCTGCAGTCTTCTCTGCCAGCTTTCCCAGAAAATCAGTAGAGAAGCTGGCAGGGAAGATTTCAGGCTAGTATTACCTTTATTGTCAGAGTACAACATGTGTACAATGAGATTGGCTGAAACTCCCTTCGTGCACGCCCCCCCCCCCCCCCCGCCCCAACACAATTCACAGTGAGGACAGGAGTCTGCTGTCACCTACCACAGATTTGAGATTCCTGCTGGGCTGAAAGCTCTTTGGGAGCAAAAGGGCTGCCAGCCAGCTGGGAATCTCAACTTTGCATGGAGCTGATTCTGTTCCCCCACCATTCCCCTCCCCCCCCCCCGCCCACACACATACACAACTTGCAGGCAGGCCTTTGAGAGCAAAAGGCCTACCTTCCAAGGGGAGGAGAAATGGATATCATATTCCAGAAATCCCAGCTCCTTTCCTGCAGCCCACTTCAGTAGCATCCTTCCATGCATGGAGGAGAGTTAAACTCTTCTAATGGGGTGAAGAAACAGAACTCAGATCCTGAAAATCCTAGCTCCGTCAATAAATGAATGAAAGAAAGAAAGAATGAGTGAATGAATGAATGAATGAATGGTGTGTATGTCCATGTACACACACACACACAGTGACCATACATCCTTTATTATAATGGATACTTTATTTCAGAAAAATAAATAAATAAAAAATAAATCTTTTCTTTAGATTTATTTAATTATTGGTTTTGCTCTTGAGTTTTCCTTTGTAAAGAAAAGTTATAAACAAACAATATTGTAATCCTTATCTTTCAGAATCCTTATCTTGTTCAGTTTGTCCTTTATTCTTCCAAGAAAATACTGTATGGTTTATCTATGACATTTTTATCCTCTTGTAGCAAAACCAGTGCGACCAGGGCACTATCCAGCTTCATCCCCAACCAATCCTTACGGTGTTCGCAGTTCTGATTGCATCAGCTACACCAATAGCCTCTTCCAGAATTATCAAAATGCTTACCTAAATTCTGGCGGCACTGTGCCTGACAGCTAGTGAGTATATTTTATTTCTATTTCTGTTAAATTGTGCAAACTGTGATTGACTTAAACTGTGGTTGGCTTAAGTAAGCTTCCTAGATGAATCTATCAGTTTTTCAGAAGGCAACCTGAAGAACATTTTGCTCCATAAATCAGACTTGAATATGCCATCATTTCATTTGATTTACATAAAATCTGATCTAAATCATGTCCTGTCTTAGCTATTGCTTGATTGCAAAGAGTAAGCCTAGGCTAACTGCAAATTTTGAGGGGTCTAGACCTTGGAATTCTAAAATAATTTGAATGTGCAAGATCCACTATATATTATCATGTGGAAAAGAAGTCATGCCAGAAGAATGAATTACAACAAGTCTTGAGCTGGAATATAAAATTACTTACCAGATCATTGCAATCTTCACAAATACACAGGAAAAAAAATAACTGGCATTAATAACAAAACATTAAAAAAGAGACTGCTATCTTTGGCTGTCATTCAAAGGTACAAGATTTAAGTTGGAGAATCAGGGACACCTTGATTTCTATTGTAGAAAGAATGATTGCAGAAACTGATGGAGTTGGCTGAAATAGCAAAATTGACTACTCTGCTCAAAGAAAAGAACATAAGTATTTTTGTCTCCACATGGAAACTGCTTCTGAACTTCACGCTTGATATGGAAAAGAATGAAATTTTGACTTTAGGTTTTGTAGATTAGATTGATAAATTTTTGCAGAAATAACTGGTTCATACTATTATGGTAAAACAAAAAGTTGTGATATTTTGATAATGCCCTTTTCTACTGTAACAGAGAGTCGGGAGTCAATGTTTCTTTTTCTTTCCCCATCCTTCCTCACTTTTCTTTTCCCTTTCCCCTCATTGTCCTCTTATTTGCTTTTGTATTTTATAATGTTTTATAACTTAATAAAATGTTTTTGGAAATCAGTTTTAAATTGGAGAATCAGGTACATGTTCATCCACATTGAGGATTTAATGACTATTTCCTAAACTTGCCCTCTTCAGATTAAATACCCTCCCCTGGAATCTAGTATTGCTTTTAGTAATTTGAATACAAGATCTTAATAGTCATCTATTTGCTACACATTCTTACTTGAAAAGGCTTTTTAAAATCATTTTGACACACAGATCTTCTCTCCCCAGTTTTTAACTTCACATTTGGCTTTAGGGTTCTGTTCCATTACAGCAGAATGATCCCTAGAAGTTCCCCTTGGCTCTAAGCTTCAGCACTGAGCCAAGTGGAATAGAACTGAGATAGCTAGGCACCTATGGTCCTTTTACTATGCATAACCTATTAACATCCATTCACTGCTTATATTTCCCCTTTCTTTTTCCATTTGTGCAGCTTTACAAATGCACCTTCCAGTAGTGGAAGCAGCTCCTCTACTGCCCCTCTGACGTCCTATCAGAAGCTCAATATGGATAATGGTAGGATATTGGGAAAGAAAAACAAATATGCCCTTAGGGAGAAGGGAGGGTACCTCTTGCTTTTCTGTTTTCCTAGACTGGGTCTTTCAGTAGCTTGAGATCATTGTGGCCCTGTTTAAAGGACCCACTTGGTGAGCAGGCAGAGTCTTTATAATGAAATTCTGTTCGCACAGCCCACTATTTCTTGGTTTACAGACAGGGATGTGGGGCATGAGTTCTGTCTTACAAAACAAACAAATGGGACAGAAAATCTGAAAAGCAAAGAAAATAAACTGAGAGATGGGTAGCTCAGTAGAAAATACTTCAGAATAAGTCTCCTTTGTGATTATCTTGTGCATGAGGTGCTGGTAGGTTTATCTTTTACGTTTCAGTGAGGCAGCACTTTCCACGCAGAACTAAATACACACACACACACACACACACACACACGGCACTGTTTGCCCCTTCAGTATGTGCCCTTCTCTGAATTGTAATGCTGCTTTTTTTCTTTCTTTCCCTGTTCTTCCATTGGACGGGTGCACAGGAAATGCCACAGACATCAATGATAACAGGTGAGCTGTATGAAAGACAATTGCCTAGCCATTGGATCAAATCAGTTTTCTCATTTTTTCAGAGTGGTTAGTTCCAGGGATAAATCATTTTTTTAATACAAAAGTACGGGGAAAGCATTTAACAGGGAGGGAAGGTTTGAGTTACTATGTGTTCCCTTTTCCTCTGTGCTAGAAGTGACCTGCCTTGTGGTGTTGCAGCTGATGAGCAAGCCAAGCTCTTTCCCTTTCATCAGGAGACTGCAGCCAGCTAATAGCTAGTACCACCACCTGCCCAGAGCATCTAAACACACCATCAGGTATAGTCCATCATATGCCCTCTCTCTCACCAACTTTTTATTGCATCTCTTAATATTTCCTCTTCCCAGGATTCCATCAGATTTGCCCTTCAGCTTCTTCCAACTGGGTAAATATGTTTCTCACAAGATTTGCTAGACATCTTTTAATTTAAACAGAATAAACTCTGTCCTGCACAAGGGTTATAGAGTAGGTTCTTGATCCTTCACTACAGAAATCCTGTTTGTGAGCTTCCAGGAGTAAGTATTCTGGCTGCCTGTCATCAAATCAGTGGACTTAAATGATTCAACAACACTCATTTTATCTCTGTAAGAACTACCAGTGAACTAAATTCAGAAAGCTTCCTCCTCAGTATTTAGCTTGAATAGAGGGGCTTGAATATTAAGATCATTTCTACTGACTTTTCCCTCTTCCCTCTTTTCCTCATCTTGTAGTTTCTAAATGGGATGGAAGCCTCACACCTGCATGCTGCAGCCGGCTTTCCTTGACTTCTGCTACAATTGGCCCTGTCCTTGTGTCCTGCTCTCTCTCCGTGTGCTGTATATTTATCGGCTGCTGCTTCACTCTCACTGTTTCTCTGTCTTACTTAACTAGAGAATAATGTATTCCCTTATCTCTTTGGATCCCTGCTCTTTACTCCAGAAGGACTTGTGCCTCTCCTTTCCTGCCTCAGTTGCCTTAAGGGATGGGCTGTCAGGGAAGAACCTAGATGTAGAAGCACCCCTAATGTGCAAACAATTCTTACCGAAGAGAAAGGGCATAAGGTATTTCTCACATGTCGTAATGACCCTTGACCTGCAGTAGAACACCACCCAACCCAATATCTTTAGGTCTTACTGTAAGAATAGAAGTTGAATACCTCCAAGTAGGTAGGCTAGAACTGTTATAGTGTATGTATTAGCTGACTTTCAGATAAGGCCTAGAGCTTTAACATCTAGTTCTTATCCTTGGGATAATCCCCAAAGAATATAAAATATTGGCAGCTAGCTTCACCTTTAGGAGTTTCCCATGATGCTTGAGCCTCAGCCCTTATGGACTTAAATTTCCCATTTTTCTTAGGTCACTATGGCACTTCAGAAATGGCCATGGGAAGTCTTCTACAGAAAGGAGATCCTGCTAGTCATTTCCTTCAGTTGATACAATGTTAGGAATGACGTTCCTAACTGCCTATCCTGAGCAGTTATTGTTTCCTCAGTGGGAACAGAAGGTTCCAATGGGTGAGGATTTTATCAGTGGGGACCATAACTCCTCTACAAGCCAGCAACATGGCCTCAGGAATATAAGTGGCCCCATTTCATTCCGTAAAGGGGAACCTAGATAGTGGTTTTGCTTTTGCAGGGGCAGAGTTACAGTTTGCAGAACAGACCTGTTGGATTTGACGGGTAAATTCTCTAGCAAGTCCTAACCAACCATAACCACTGCGTATCTGGGGCACAGGCCGGGGCCTAATGATTCTGCAAAGTGAAACAAAAATTAGGCTGCTATCAACATATTTTCAGTTATTCCCTTTTATTATCTTTTGATAGCTGGCTCAGGGGCCTTTCATTTGTGCTCCCATGTGTATATTTTGAGGGAATAGTGAGTCCACTGCACATCTTTAACTTAATGTCACCACTTCTGAGTCAATAGGGCAAACAGGGTTGGGGGACAGGGAAAGTGGCTTTTGCAAAGGATTGCAAGCCTCTTTCCTGTCAAACTCTTAAAACAGCAATAACCCTGTTTAACTGTCTTTTTGATGGTTGTTGACAGCTTGTCATTTTATCCCTGTCTGCTCAGATCACATCAAATGTTGCATGTCAAGCTATTCAAAAGTTTATTTAAAAAAATAAATAAATGAAGAGTTAAAAAAAAAAACAGATTTGTGTGCTCGGTTAATGTGCCTATAATAAAATTTCATTTAGGTGAAACTCAAATCCTCATGTGACTTCATGGACATATCCATGCAATTTCTTGGCAACTATATAAAAGAGCTTTGTAATGTGAGGGTTTTTTCTAAAATTTTCCAGTCTGGTCTATGGAATTTCCTGGCGATCTCCCATCCAAGTCTAACCTGGTCTGAATGTGCTTAGCTTTCAAGTCATCAGCTATCCATTAAAACTGGAAAAAAATGGGGAAGGAAAGAGTACCTGCAGGACCTTAAAAAACATTTAAACTAAAAGTTCACATAAGATTGCTGCAATGAATATCCGAAAAAAAAACACCAGAATGGGTGGTAAGGAAAATGACCAGTAGGTTAATTACTGAAATATTATGACTTAATTCTCAGAACACTTTATCACCATAATAATGCTTCCAAATCTTGCATTTCTGCTCACCATCCCAAAATAGGACATTAGACAGCTGGTATAATATATAATAAAAATACAAAGAGGAGCTATCAAAATCATTAAGGCTTTCCATTAATGGATGGTTATATTTGGCACTTTTTAAACAGAACAAAAATATTTATTACATATCTATGTATTACATATATATATCCCATAATCTCATTTTATATCCATAAAAATAATGCTTTGAAATAGGTTGATCTATAACAGAGTGACTGGCCGAAAATCACTCAGTAGTCAAATTACCGGTAACTCTTTGGTCAAATAAGGACTTAAATACCTGTTGTCTCAGTACTAGTCTAACATCTTAACTGTAATGCTACTTCCCTTCCATCAGTGAATAAGAATGGGTATAAGACATATATTAAAAAATGGATAAGACAATGTGTTTTTCTCTCTCATAACGTTAGTATAACGTTATAATATTACATAATACTACTACTCACAGACATTAAGTTGAATAGTGAGATTTGAGGCAGATCAAAGGAAATATCTCTGATCTCTAAGTCAGGTGGTTTTAAAAGAAGTCTCATGGGGGAATAAGGTTATTCAATGAGTGGTCTTGCTGCTCTCTAAGCTTGGTTGTTTTCTTATAGATTTTTCATTACCCAAATTAGATCATATTAAATATTGTTAATCATAATGATCCTACAGCCTCTAGTTCTGAATGTTAGTGGACATAAGCAGAAAGATGTTGCTATGTTCCTGTCCTGCTTGGCTTTTTACTGAGTATCTGATTGTCCTATGTAGGAACAGAAAGTTGGGTTAGATTATTGGACAGATCCACAGTACTTTTCTTATGTTCTTGTAACTGAAGGACAAAACTTTAGATATTCGGGCTCAGAATAATGGTCCTATGATAATGGCATGGTAAACATCAGTATTAATAATCCTGTGCCATCCAGAGTTTGAAAAACATTCTGTTGATTGTAGATTGTTTATATATTTAAGTAATAAATAACTGGAGGAATGTACATTTCCAACATCTTATTACAACAACTTTCAACCCAGTCCCTCCAGATATATTGAAACAATTCCTGGATTTCTATAACTAGGATTGCTGTTGGTTATGCTGGTGATGAAATGTGGAAAGTGCAGATCTGAGTATCATATAGAAAGATTATCACAGAAACATATGGTGGTTATAAGTACTATAAGTTATTACAGAAAATCAGAGAAATCCCAAAATCTGATTTAAAGTGACCCATGGCTCAAGATCCATGGCCATATTTATCTCAGAATTTTTATCTGGGTTTTTGCTTAAAGGTAAAAATATTTGCCTGCAGTTTAATACCTAGGGAAATAGGTTTCAGATGTATGCAATAGAGGTAAGGTCATACAGTTTTTTCTTTCTCCCTTTAGGTGCAATTATATGTTTCATAAGTAAGAAAGTTGTGCTGGAAGGCAATTCCAGTATCAAATGCAAAGTGTGTAACAAAATGCACTCTTGTATTTTATAATTATTCTGGACCACTCTTTTATTTCATGATATGTACTATCCAACCAAAGGATTTGCTGATATACCTTTTGAGGGGTTATATACTTGTATAAATCTTACTATCAGGAAAATTTAGAATATCAGCACCAATTGTTTCCTGGATTAGAGCTAGGCCATTTCACTCAGGAAAATCTGATCTTCAAACTGTCAGAATACATTCAGGAAAGAAGTACTTTTTCTTGACTCTAATCAAATTAAAGAAAGAGAGACAGACAGACAGAGAGAGAGAGAAAAAAAGAGAGAAAGTTCTAGGTTTTCTGAGAATTAACAGTAGTAGCATTCATTGAACTCACACATATTTTATGGGAACCCAGGCTCTATAATTTGTAAACTATTGTTTAAGGCAGCACAAATGGTCTAAAGGTTAAAGGTCTAAACCAGGGGTCTTCAAACTTGACAGCTTTAAGATTTGTGGACCAACTCCCAGGATTCCTCCTCCAGTCATGTCAGCTCAGGAATTCTGGGAGTTGAAGTCCACAAGTCTTAAACTTGCCAAGTTTGAAGACCCTTGGTCTAAACCTTACTGAATCCTGTTGTGATCACAATTGCTAAAAATAATGTGCTTTCTTGCCATATTGAAGTAGATTTATATTCTACCTTACTCGTCAATGTAAGGGTGGAAAGCTGCCAAGCTAACCATCAATGACATAAAAGGATACAAAAATAAACATTCAAAAACATAAAAAATAATTCATATGTTAAAGTCCAAATGTAGTACCTGGAGAATTTCTGGGAGCATGGACATCTGGTGGGTAAATGATAAAATGTGCATTATGATTTCATCCAAATGTACTGGTGTCATGACAACCCCTCCCCCACATATTGGCACTACAGACAATCTTACTACCAACACCACCATCATCATCATTAGTTTAGCCTCATAACATCAGAAACAGATTATTTTTGTCCAGAAGCAACACTGAAGCTTCTCTCCTGTATGCCAGATAAACAAGTCACTGAAAACTACAGTGGGGAAAGTCAATGAAATATCTAGAACACACTATAATCTTGCAGTACTGTGACCTACAAGGTGATCAGAGCTTCAACTAAACTCCATTACTAGATAAAAGTAACGATAAAAGATGTTGGTTAAACGAACAACACAGGAAAGAGTATATTGTCATGTCTTTATCACACATTGAGCCAACATTTACTGCCTTTGGGGGGGGGGGGGAATCTGGATTTAGCAAGTGTTGGTGCCTCTAGCTCAACAAGAAAGATGGGAATAATTGCAAAATGTCCCTATAAACTGCAAATTATCAAAAAACACCACAGCTTATATTTGAAAGCTCCCAAGAAAATCAAAGAGGCTTAATGAAGACGAAGAATTTTTACTGAAGAGAATACAACATGAGAAGACAGATGTTAGAACTTTCTTTGAAGAGTTTAAAGATGGTTTGCAGAAAGAAGAATACAAGATTTGACCAAGATTAAAGTAATGGGTTATTATTTTGGGGGGAGGGAGGGAATGTTTAATGGTTTCTTTATTAGAAGTGGTGATAATAGTTATTTCTAATCATCTTTGTTTCTTGAGTGGGACTGAATGTTGATTATTTGAAGAAAGGAAAAGGAAAAATTCAGATTGGATATAATAAATATAATTTGTAATACTTTACTTCTGATAACCCTTACTGGACTTTTAATAGGGAGGGTTGAAGTTTTAGACATGGGTTTATAGAAACTGGGATGAGATATAGAATGAAAAGATGTTTTGCTTTCATTTTAAGAGATAGTGATAAGTTCTTAATGCTGATTATACTCTACTGCTAAGGATAAAGAGGGAGGTTTCTTTTTCTGCTTTTCCTTTTTCTTCACTTTTTAAATTTTTAAATCTTTAATGTATTTCTTTATTCTGTAGTTGTGTAAATTGTAACTTGTATAATATAATCTTTAATAATAAAATTATTGGGGGGGGAAGAACAAGCAGGGCTGCTTTATAACCCAGACTTTAATTTTTTTAAAAGCTTCTTTCTGTCAGGAGTCCTTTCCACTTCTAAAAATTAAGGAGGAACCCCCCCCCCCCAAAAAAAGCTTTTTGTTTGTATGGGATTTGTTTGCATACTTAAGGTATTTAAAAGGTCAACTGAACTGGGTTCAGATAATTAGTTTGAGGCAGATGGGTCTCAACACCTTTCCCAGTTAGTTTTTAAGACTATTATACCTTAGGTTTTAACAGATGCTACGGCTGGAACATTCTCTAACACAGGGGTCTCCAAACTTGGCAACTTTAAGACTTGTGGACTTCAACTCCCAGAATTCTCCAGCCAGCATAGCCAGCAAAGCAAAGCTGGCTGGAGAATTCTGGGAGTTGAAATCCACAAGTCTTAAAGTTGCCAAGTTTGGAGACCTCTGCTCTAACAGATATACAGCAATACATAAAGAGGTGATCATTTAATTCTGCCTACTATCTTTTTGAGAGGCCAGATGAGCAAATTTAGAAGAACTCAAACTTTGTAAGGTTAGTAGCCTAGTAATCTCTGTACATTTATTGAACTATAATTATTCTAATTATGGATAGACCAGTTTGGTGTAACGGTTAAGGCATTGGGGTAGAAACTGGAAGACCACCGAATTCCAGTCCCACCTGAGGCAAAAAGCCACCGTGTTCTTGGGCCAGTTCTTCTCTCTCAGCCCTAAACAGGCAAGGCAAACCACTTCTGCAAACACTTGCCAAGAAAACAGCAGGGACTAATAGTCAAAAACTGGCTCGAAAGCTCTCTCTGTGTGTATGTGTATATATACAGTTACTCAGAATTTATGGTGTTGTGGCTCAGTCTCTGTCCAAAAAACATTTCCTTAACGAAGAGCTCGATGAACTAACACTCCTGCCTAGTGTAACGACCACCTCCTCTGTTCGGCTGCATTTTTAAACGCTGCCCTCCAACCTTTTTCCTTTCCAACCCTTCCTCCAGATCAGGGGTGAGGGTGGGGAATCTGTGGCCTTCTTGTGACCTGTGGACTTCAACTCCCAGAATTCCCGAGGCAGGAAGTCCATGCTGGTTCAGGAATTCTGGGAGTTGAAGTCCACAGGTCACAAAAGGGCCATAGTTCCCCACCTCCTCCGCTCCAGATAGTTTTATTCACCGTGATACCTGCAAGCGCCGTGTTAGCTCTCAACGTCCCCCATAGAGTTAAAGTACCAAAAAAAAAAAAAAAAAGCGGTTAATCCTAAACAGGGAACGTTTACACGACACCGAGCGTCACAAACTAGCCAACCACCTTTTACTAGCAACGCCTTCCGCTACACAAAGGCCTAACGCTCGCCACAGACGGACGCCCCGAGACGGACGTCCAAAGGAGCTATTTCCATCGCCGGCGCCCCGCTCCTTTTGTGACGCAGCTTCCCCGCCGCCTCCCTTCGTGGTCACATGCGGCGGGAATCAGCTGAGCGTTTACTTCCGTTGCCGGCGTTCCGGGCTGCCGTTGAATCCGAGCGGCCGGCGCGTGGGTGGGTAGGCAGGCAGGCAGGCGAGCGGCCACTCGGAGCGGGATTCGCAACAGCGAGGATGGCCGCCTCGGTGGGTCCGGGGACGCGCACGAAGACCAAGAAGAAGCACTTCGTCCCGCAGCGGGTGAAAGTGCTTCGCTCGGCCGACCCTCTTCTGGGCGTGCTGGCTTGGGGGATCAACCATCAGGTAAATTCGGCTTCGCCCGAAGTTTTTGGGTGGGGTCGGGGGAGAATATATAGGGCAGCCCACCTCTTTGGCTGGGTCGCCTCCCTCCACAGCATTCCGTGGCTGGATAGAAGGAAGGCGGGTCCCCCCACGTGTCGAGCCTCTCCTTGGCACCTCTTCAACCGGCCGGGTTTCTCTTTCTCCTCTGGCCGCGGGATCTGTACCCATCGGGACGCGGTTTTGGGGGGTCACCTCTCGTCCCCTAATTGTTTGGATTCCCGATGTATTCGGGACAATGGTTGGTTTCGGAAAGCTTCAGCAAGAGCGGATAAAAGGGTGTGTATGTGTGAAGGCAAACAGGTGTGTGTCCCGGGGATGGTGGTGCGAGGTCGAATTTGGGTCGGTCCCCGGGAGCAGAGATTTTGACTAGATCTCAATCAAGATAGGAGAGACCACCAGGAAATTCCAGGGTTTGAAAGTTAGGTCTAGAAACACTCCCAGCAGAAGGCACAAAACTGCTTCAGTAAATGGGGTGCCATGAACCCCATAACACATCATGTGTTAAGTGTGACTTGTAATTTTGTTTGTCTTTTCTCCTTTTTGTCTATGGAGATGCTCGAGTCATCCAAAGGTGAAAAAGCACCTTTGGGATTTCTTATTTTTCTTTCCTGCGCTCCTGCTCCCCACACCTGGTCTTATTACTATGATGAGTGTCTTGGAATAGCTTTCCCTACTGCGATGCCTGTATTGTTTTATGACAGGACTAAAAAAAATACATGGGGTTGTTATTCTTGTAGGCATTGCCTTGGGGAAGGCTGCAGTAGTGTTATGCTCATCAACATACCTGCATAATTTTCTCCGTTCTTGCTGCAAAGTTTTTTTTTTTTATATGCACAGTGGGAAAAGTATAACTTTGTATAAGTATAATAAAATGGCTTGAAAAATGTAATAGATTTTGCACAGATGGTTTAACTTTGCTTCAGAATCTAGTGAGAAAAAAAAATGTCTACCTGTTCATAAGTTGACTAATGCCACAGTGCTTAATCATAGTCCTGACTCATATGGGAGGAGATTGTTCCTATCTATTGAAGGAGACATTAAATAGTTCCGAATATAGACTCTTATAATTTCTTCATACATGTCTGAATTTGTGTGATATGATAACCCCTAAACTTGAACAAAACACAATTGTGTGTTAATATAAATATGCTCTGAACAAACAAAAATTACTGGCTAATGTGATGTTCTGGTTCACACAGTACATTTAGATATGCTGCTGAATGCAGAATTGCTGTGCCAGTTTCTCATTACCTCTTCCATCTCTTTGACAGAATCGGCAGACATCAGGGAATTTCCTCATGAGGCCATTGCCCCAGATTTTTTAAAAGATATTAATAGTAATATTTATGGATTTTATCAATGTTTTGATATAGTCTAGAGTTGTTTGAGCAGGCAGCAGAAAATGTTAACACTGAAATTCCAAGGTTATTTATCGGTTATTGCATAAATAACCTTATACTTTTTGAAGTCTGGCCTCATTCAAACTCTGAAAAAAAAAAGCTTTTCATGTGATGAGTTGGAAATGGGAAGGGAACTTGTGGCATCTGATAGCAGAACATCTATTTGTGCCTACCAATTATTGCATTTTTTTGTTTGTATAGGCCTCAGAGAGGCAAAGCTGTATTCCATTGTCTGCCCTTTCTAAGCTTCATTAATCCCTTCTCCTCTGATTCCAGCAGTTTTATGACCCCAAGCATATGAGCTTCATGACACAACATTAGCATAATTCAGATTCCAGAATTAAGGAGGTAGCTGGTACGTGAGCCTTACTGCATGCTTTTCTGGGTTGCAAGCTGTTTTTGGTGCTGTAGGCTAAGTCTCTTGATGGGCAAAAAGCCATTTGCTTCCTTCCATTTTGTTCTTTGGTGCTTTCAGAGTTTGACTGCTGCGTTTGAGTTTTGCCTAAAAATATGCATGGTTTTTTTTTTACTACCAAAGAAGCTGGATAAAATGCATTTGCAAAAAAACCTGATTTTGTCTTGGCTTCTTTCCCTAAACAGGCTGAAAATATTCTGGTACATCTAACTAATATGATGTTTCTAGATCAGTATAAGTAACTTTTTAATCCCTTGTGCTCTGTTTTCCTCTATACCCAATGTGGCTGTTTTTCCTTAGATGGTTTCCATTTGGGATCGGCTTCTTTAACAGAAGCAATGCTGGCTCATTTAGATAACAAAACTGAACCTTGTTTTGTACTGAGAACACTGTAAAACACTGTATGTTTTAAAATGCAGAGTGGTACAGAATCCTTATCCATTCTCTGACTCATAGCAGTTATACAAAGGAGGAGGTAATTTTTTCCCATTATGGAAAGGAAACTAGGACAGACTTTATCCTTATATTACCTGAGTTTTCCAGCTGTGGCAAAGTACTACTTTTTGACTTCATGTCAGCTCCTCACAGCCAGCTATCCTTTGCAGCAGGTGAGTTCAAAGTTCTAAGAAGGGAGAGGTTCTTGCAGCATGCAGAGCTGAAAATATTTCCCCTAATTAAGAAGGCTGTGATGGGAAATATATGGATGCTTTGGTCTACAGAAGCTTCTTCTCTGTGTGCTTTCTTCCTTAGCTGGCTTGCTTAGAAAAGATTCCTGAACGTCATATGGTGGAAACTGACCAATATGTCCAGATTCCATATGAGTTATTTCCTAGCAGTTTTAATCTAGAAGGCTTTGCAATGTGTGGCATTTTCTCTTTAGGGGATGTTTTTTTAACAAGAGCAGAATAGCAGCATGTATGTCATAACCATCTAAGAAATGCAACTTGAAAATGTGAAATTGTCTTAAAACCATGAAATCTGTTGAGAGTAATACCAATGTTTCTGGATATTAGCATAATGATAAACTAGCTCTAGCTCATCAAATAACATTTCATTACAGATACCAATCAAGTCTGTTAGAATAACCGGGCAAGTACCAAGCTTAGATAGCATTAAACAGATTAAAGTTCGCTTGAAGTAGAAGCCAAGAGCTGACAGGTAAGAGATTCCTGGCTCTTACTAGTTTTGCCCATCAGCTTTGCTAAACAGTTCGTTTCTTCAGCAATGCCTCATTCTTATAGACCAGGTATCTTTTAATCTATAGCACTTTCTCCTTCTAAGTCTCTGGTAGACCTGGAAATAGGCCATATTAGCTTCTAATTACATGTAGTCCTTGACTGACAACTATATGTTTAGTGACGTTCAAAGTTATAGTGACATTGAAAAAAGTGACTTATTGTTCCTCTTACTAACAACCTTTGCAATCCTTGATTTACAATAGTTCATTTAGTGACCATTCAAAGTTAGAATGCCACTGAAAAAGTGACTTATAACCATTTCCCCCACTTGTGACCTTTGCACCTGTTTATTTTATTTATGGAATGGGAAGTAACCTAAGTATGTATAAGCCCTCACAGCACCTCACATTGCAGTACTCTAATTTGAGGGACAAAATGCTAATAAAGGTAGAATAGAAATAAAATAAAAATAATGCTCAGTGAGGCAATTTTTGGTCTTGTTCTTGGGAAAGATATTGGCTAAAGTTGCAAAATATTGTAGCCATGGGAAGCCTCCAAGTTTTAAAAATGATCTTATGTTTTTTTAAACCCCCAAATTATCTTGTCTTACTGTAATGACAGAAACACCTTACCAGACATACTTGGTCTAGCCTTTAGAAATTGTTGGTATTATTGTTATCATTTTGAGAAGTACAACTTTTTGATGAGCCAGCTTGGTCTAGTGGTTAAGGCAGGGATCGCCAACCTTTTGGACCTCAGTGACCACCAAACTCATAATTTTAAATCCTGCGGACCACTAATATGAATTTTGACTGATGGTGGCTTGCTGATGTTGGTGGAAAAATCGGTCCCATATTCCAGAGCTGCAGTAATCACAGGACTGACCCTTTGGTCATCCCGGAGCAGCTGCTCCTCCACCTGGGTGCACCAGCCTGCCATGGACTGGAGGAGCTATTCTGGGATAACCAAAGGGCCAGTCTTGTGACTACTGCAGCTCTGGAATATGGGGCCGATTTTCCCACCAATGTCAGCAAACCACCCCTGGGCAGATTTCCCTTCCCCGCCATTGGTCTTACCTTCCAGTTCTAGCTCGTGTGGCTCTACTCAAAGTAAGGTTTGAGCTCGGCCAAAGAGTGAGGGCCAGCGGGTGGGCAGGCCATGTGGGCGGCGCAGCCTTGTATTCCCATGCAGCCTGGATTAATTGCTTTGGGGGGGACATTTCTCTGCGGACCACCAAAATTTTCTCGTGGACCACCAGTGGTCCCTGGCCCACCAGTTGGTGACCACTGAGTTAAGGCACCAGGCGTTCAAGTCCAGCCTTAGCCATGAAAACGAGCTAAAAGGTGATCTTGGGCCTGTCAGTCTCTCAGCCCAACTCATCTCAAAGGGTTGTTGTCGTGGGGAAAATATGAGGAAGAAAAATATGTTTGCCACTTTGAGTTGTTTATAAAAATAATAAAGATGGGATATAAATTAGGTAAATGAATAAAACATAAGAATAAAGAAGTTTTCTGCTTGGTTTGAGGTGATAGTTTTACCTCACAGTCGGATAACTAAGTTAGAGACTAAGCGATGCTTGTTGGTAACTGTCCTATGACAAAAGGCTTCTAATTGGAGTACCAGCTGAACTAAATTAAAATACTTCTTCGCTCAAATTTATCAGATTTTTTCATTAATCGTTTTATCTTGTGCAGATTACATTTTGCAGATTTTTACCCAAAAGGAATTGCTGCAGATGGGCCATCCCTGCAACATAGGCATCAATATTGATCTTTCCAAAACCTTTGCAAAGTGTAAAAATTGCTAATCCCAAACTGAATTGAACTATTCTGTTGTCAGAGGACAGTCAGAAGGCAGCTGGATTATTTGAAGCCAAACAGGAATATCTCTTTATACCACTAGTTTTGGAAGACTGAAGTACAAAAGAGAACAAATTTTTTACTACAGTAAATACCTCTAGCACAAGAACATCAAGTAGCACCCACGTATATGCTACTGTGATGTCTTTGGAGGCAGAGGTTCAGTAATTTAATACATAAGTAGCTTGATTAAAAATAATACATAACACAGTCATAAGTGCATCTGATGTAGATATCATCAAGCTTGAATTAATGGCTTTTTGGTATGTTCAATTCCTGCTGTGATTTTGAACTATAAAGGTCATAAGTAAGCCATCTTCTGTGAACATAACAGGATCTCATATAATAAGTACAATTCAGGTGTTACTTAATATTTCTGAGTTTGCCCTTTGTGTGGTGGCAATATTATCTTTTATAAGTGCATGCTATTTGAAAAGCTTTTCCTCAGTAGAGAAGTTACTAATGAATATTTACACTATAAAAGCACTATATTTTAAAGCTATCCTTCTAGCCCCTATGATTGTTCAAAAATATCTTTCAGACTGTCAGAATATTCCATTGTGTTGCTATTTTGCTGCTACAATGTATGCTGAATAAAAGAATAATCTGGTTTTTGCACTTTGGATTGTCTTTGTGCAATATAATATAATGTTATGCACATATTTGTATATGTGTGTTAGTATGATTGACTGGGTTAGGAATTTTCTTTCTTTCACTGTGAGTTATTGAGATGTATTTGTGTTGCGGGGTGCACTAAGGGAGGCTCAGCCAATCTCATTGTACACATGTTGTGCATTGACAATAAAGGTTTGAAATTGAATTTTTTTTAAATGGCAGACCCTTCTAATTAGGCAGAGTAACAGATCAAGACAATATAAAACTTTCTAAAATATATGTCAGCTGAGAGTAGGATGCAAAATTTGGGGTACTGGACTATATGAGAAAAATGAATACTGTACATATATACGTATAACTATATGCGTATACATTTACCAACTACAGTCCAGTATATGTCAAGGATCCTACTTTTACATTTTATGAGAGAAATGTGATTCTAAGCAGGTTTCAAACCCTCCCCCCCTTTAAACAGAAATGCTGGATAGTTCAGTATGAGCTCACCATAGCTGTTATAATATCATTTAAAGGCTGGTTTAAACTGGCTCTGGCTCTGCTGCTTGAGTGGCTGCCCAAAGGCAATTGAAATGGAACATGAAGAGTGAAGCCTCATAGCTATAATTCTCTGTGGTCCATTCTTCTCTGATTCATATTTTTCCTACCAGAGATTATAGGGGAAAGATGGCCAAGCATGCTTTGTGCCTCTCAATGTGGTAATGCTGATTTGAGGTTTATATGCCCTTCTCTGGTAGCAATTACACATTTGGTGCATTTTCCACATTTTCCTGGCATTCTCTCTAAGAGAAACACATTTTCTCTGCCATAACAGAACTCTCCATTGGTTCTGGTCCTTTTTTTCACACAGTCATGTTTCAATAGGGATTAATACATGGCTGTTACGTAAGTTTAAAAACTCATGTCTGGATGAAAATCATGTGACAGGCTGCTTTCAGCCTCTGGTCAAAAGATTATTGATGTTCTTGGTCATGGGCTGCTTCAGTTGCCCATCTGAAGTTGTCAAGAGCTAGAATGAAAACAATTGAGCCTTGGAGGTGCTGCAATCTCTTGGCAAGCAGAAATACTGAGGTTAAAACACAGGGACTTTTGTCTCAAGCTTTTGACCAAGCTACAGCTAGCAGAATTGTCTCTGTGAAACTGAATCTGGTAGTGGGGTGCTGGGTGTGACTTTGTCTGGTTTTACCTTCGTTTTCTCATGTTAGATCAATGAACTCAATCAAGTTCCCCAGCCAGTGATGCTGCTCCCTGATGACTTCAAAGCCAGTTCTAAAGTAAAGGTGAACAATCATCTCTTCAACAGGTGAGGAAAGAGCTGGAGATACAACGCAGATGGCCTTCCTAATCCAAATTTCATCCTAATGCAGGTCCACTGCAGTGTTTCAGGCAAAACTCATTCCAGTACTTTCAAATGAGGTCCAGTAACTAAAACACGGGGATTAAGCTTGGCATTGTGAGCTTTGCACCGTATATTTATTTATTTATTTATTTTGTTGGCTTTATATTTCCATCTATTCACTCATGCATATGTGCATGGATATGCTTCCTACATGGAATGTTCTGAGGCATGTGGCCTAATATTGTCTGCCTATATCACCCCATGAGAAGGATAATAACCCCAATTACTCCTAAATAATATAACTTCAGGTACAAACATCCCTCAAAAATAGTTTTGTCGGTTGAGATGAAAGATTCTCCTAATGCAGCCATTTTTCTCTAGCGCTGAACAATGCTGTTGTGGTAGTTGAAGAGCCTGGAAGTTGTAATCTGATATATGCTTTTCTAATTGATCTGAGTGTATTTCTTTGTCCTTTATCAAGAGATTACATTATTTATTAGATAACTTTATATAGCTACCCAACTCTCACATAGGTGACTTCAAGTGAGTTACAATTGATTAAAATTGATTAAGCCTTATAAATCTATTTATACAAATTACCTTATTTACAATAACTAAATATATAAACCACTACAGTCTAGCAGAAAGCCTCACTCAGCTAATTCTTGCTTCTAATCTTAAGGGTTTTCTTTTTCCCAGACAGATTATGATATTAGTTTCTCTACAGTGATTATGATCCTTCATTGAAATCTCTTTTTGCTCATTTCCATTCCTTTGTGCAGTAATGCAACTTTTAATATACATTTTCTCAAACCTCTACTGCCCTTTAATATAGTTTTACTTGTGACTAGGCTGAAAAGGGATTTGCTGAGAGAAAAGGGAATTGAAATGACTGAATTCCAGGAAATGTTAGTGGTCTATAGTCCATTATTTTCTCCTCTTTAGGGGCCAGTTTCTGTTAAAAACAAAAACAAAATAAAATATTTTGCTTGCTGGGATTACTAGATAGTTGTTTGAATATTGTACTTTATTTATTTATATCCCACCTTTATTAGTTTTCTAACTCAAGGTGGCAAACATACCTACTCCTATTGGGTTGAGAGAGGGTGTTTGGCCCAAGGTCATTCAGATGGATGGATGGGGAGATATAGTGTGTGTGTGTGTGTGTGTGTGTGTGTGTGTATGTATCTATCTATCTATCTATATAACATATATATATATATATATATATATATATATATATATATAAAATTGCTAGAAAGGGTGGCATTCAATAATGCATAATGTAAGTTTAATTTACTGTATATCAATGTTGTTGTTTTTTCAGTGCCTTAACTGCAAAATGTTTCAATTGTGAACTATTTACATAATTTCTTTTTTCTTATTTTTCCCCTTTGAGTCATGATTGATTACTGGTGACTGGCTTGCAATTCTTTTCAGTTTTCTTGGCAAGATTTTTGGAAACGGTTTGCTTTTGCCTCCTTCCTAGACCTGAGAGAGAATTAATCTACCTAAAGTTACCCAGCTGGCTTCATGCCTAAGGCAAAACAAGAACTCATCTCCCAGTTTTTAGCCTGGTCCCTTAACCATTATGTCAAACTGGCTCTCGCATAATTGATTAGGACATGGTTTTTACAGTGCAACAATGTGTGTGTACATATATACATGTGATTTAGTCTATTGTTTTAAAATACCATTTTAGAAAAAGCCAAATATCACAATTTTTGAATCCATCGTCATGTAAAAGTATGAAATTATTTGCTAGTACAAGCTGAGGGCTTGCCTCCTCCTTTCAGATACCTAATGCTTTATATTCTTCTGTCTGAACAGTAATGTAACCAACCTTCATAATGGAGGATTACAGCATGTGCTAGAAGAGACGGTTGGTGAGAGGATTATGGAGCACAGGCCATAGATTGCTGAGATTTCTAAACTGAATTGGCAGCTATTCCAATTAAAGCCTTGTTCACTTGTCAAGAAGACTGCTCTTCTGATAAAAGAAACAGTAGGGCCTTTGTATTCACACAAATGAGATATAATATAGTGTTCTTCCAAAAGTGAGCTTGTTCTTTCCCTAGCAGAAATGGTTAGGCCTGAACACCAGACATGGCATAGTCTGAAGGTGATAAAATGGCTTGTAGCACTTCAGGATGCAGGATGGGGAAAACAAACAGAACTTTTTTTTCTCCATACGTGAATCACTACAATGGAGATCAGGTTGGGCCAGAATCTTTACTGATGAGCTGTGTTTTTACTTTAGGAGTGAAATAAAAACATTCCATTCATTTTCCGCTCCTCTAAAGTATTTCAGGCCTCTTGTCTGCCTCATTATGCTCTATTTGCAGACTAAACTTTGGCTTGGCATCTAACCATGTTACTTATACTTCTGCAGGGAAAACTTGCCTGGTCACTTCAAATTTAAGGAGTACTGTCCACAGGTTTTCCGCAACCTTCGTGAACGCTTCAACATTGATGATCAGGATTATCAAGTAAGTAGATACAGGGGTGGGATCCGACAGGGTTAACTACTGGTTCGGTGATTTACTATGTGCTTCGCTGCGCACGCCTGTAAATCATCATCAGCTTGCTGCCTGGACAACTGAGCAGCACTGAGTGCAGAGAAACAGCGTTTGAAAAAGTACTTTTTTCCTGCTTTTTCAGCTGCAGCTGTGCGTTGCACAGCAGCTGAGGTTGAAAAAGCAGGAAATAAAGGTCAGGTAAGAACTCGGGCAAGTGAGTGGGCCAAAACATCAGCAGACATAGAACCAGTTGTTATGTCTGCTGCTTTTCAGAGCTACCGGTTCTACAGAGCCGGACAGAACTGGTAGAATCCCAACCCTGGGTAGATACCATCTTACCCCAAAGAGTTTGAGTACCTAAAAACCTGAGGGTACACAGTTTTTCCAGCTGTAGCCACAGAGCCCCCTCCCCAACCCCCACCTTTTTGGAGGTGGGTTGCCTAATGCCTTTTTCCATAATGGCACATTGTGAGAGATCTACTATTTCTTCCTTGTAATAAAAGCAATGAAGATGATATGGCCAGGTGAACTAGTTTGGTTTTATGTGGATTGGTTGATTTAGCTATTATGCATTTACTGACTTTACAGTAACAAGCCCAATGTTCAAAGGTTTAAGACCAAAAAGTTAAGAAATCATGTTTGAAATTAAACAAATTTTGTAATGTATTACAGGTATTCTCAAGTTACAACAGTTCATTTAGGGACCGTTTGAAGTGACTTATGACTATTGCAACATCCCCATGGTCATGGGATCAAACTTCAGATTCTTGGCCACTGACTCATATTTGGGACATTGGCAGTGTCCTGGGGTCATGTGATCACCTTTTACAAAGCTCTGACAAACAAAGTGAATGAAGAAGCTAGATTCACTTAAAAACTGCTTTACTAATTTAACACCTGCAGTGATTCACTTAACAATTGTTGCAAGAGAGGTTGTAAAATGGGGCAAGACTCACTTTACAAATGTTTCACTTAACAACAGAAATGTTGGGCTCAATTGTCATCGTAAGTCGAGGACTACCTGTACAATATATTCCTCTAGTAATTAAATTGAGAAAATGTAGTCTATTACTACAGCATGCAGTTACAATCATCATCATCTATATATATAACTGCGAAAGACCACTCATGCATCATCACAAAATCTCCAGAACCGTAAAACCAAAAAACTTGAAATTTGGCACGTATGTTCCTCTTGGCTTCTAGGTGCTCACTAAGAAAGGATTTTTCGAAATGACCATCGCAGCATTAGTATTTTGTATATTATTATTAACACGCTCTGATGCTATTCCCCCTCCCCACCTGAAAAAAAATCTGTTCCAAATGCAAAACACAAGCAGAGGAGAGGAGTTTCAGATTTAGTTTCACATACCAAGCAGCTTTAGTACAGAACAGTTGCTGTCGTCTTCTTGCTCGCACAGCAAATACTGTTTCAGTTTCCAAACAGCCCTCAACTCTCTCACACACTGACAGGACACTAGCCAGATGAATACTGATGGATGCTGATAGGCAGAGGCAAAACTTTCTTTCCCTTATTTTCCTTCCCCAAAACTAAGCCCGACCACATGGTTTCGTAGCGAAGCACAGGTATCGAACTGGTTCTTTTATAAGGTTATTTTTGCTTTCATTTAAAAACCCAGAAGAGACTAGTTCAGATCTGTTCTCCTGAGCAAAACTAATATTAAAGTCAGATTGCTTTAATGTTAAACCAGTGGATTATTTTAATCAATAACTGTATTAGTGTCTATGTTTCTAGATATGCTTGTTTGCATACATAATCCTTATTACTCTTGCAGATGCCATGATACTACAGTAGTTGTTTTATCCATTTAGTAGAAAGTTCAAGGTAGCAGAGGGGCTAAGAGGCCCAGCTGAAATGTTGCCTTTGTCCTGAATTACTTGCAAGAAATGCTTTACTCGTGACATACACTTAGTCTTATTCCCACACCTGCTCTGTAAAAACAGTGATGGTGACATATCATATAAGGTTAAGGGAAGATAGGGGAAATGAAGCTCCTTGAACTCCTTCCGAAGTATCAAAATATTGATATTGAAAAAAGGTCGGTGTGATGACCCAGAGTATATCAGAAATATAACAAAACCCCAAACGTAACTAAAAGTCCTTTAATGCCTTCAACTTCACTTCACTGTTTAATTGTTCACAATGGAGGAGTAAACTATTTTCAAAATAACATTTCAAAGGAAAGAAACACAGTTCAAATTCAAAGAGCCAATAATGAAGCAAAAAACAAAAACAAACCACATTGAATAAAGTTCCACGACAGACCAGGATAGATAATTGCCAACTTCAGGAAGATAACCAGGTACAGTCCGTTGGAAGAACGCCAACCAAGATAAACCACCTTTAGGAATAAAACACTAATTTGTCTCCAACGTCTGTTAGCACGCAGGTCCAAACTTTTATGCAAATCTCACACCTGCAACCCATGAAGAGGATCATGGCCCTCTCCTCCTGATTAGACCACGTCTTACCCTGACCCTCTCCTCCCTGCCTTCCCTAGGATAGATAGGGGATGGGCCTGGGTCCTCCTCTGACTGCTCAGTCAGCCTCTGCCTTTCCCCAGCCTCCTCCATCACCTCTGGAACCACATTTCCACTCCCTGTTGGCTGTTCCTCCTCTTCCTCAGAGTCAGTCTCCACCAGGAGCATGACAGTCAGAAGTGCAATAGCTTAGAAATGGTACGTTGCCACACAAGAGGTTGTATGCATCCAATCGAGCACTTACACAACAGCTACAGGACCAATCTCAGAATGGGTTAAAGAGAGATGTGGAAAAGGAAGCCCCAGGCCAGGCTTGCTTAAAACTATGTTCTTTCACATACACACACAAACGCAAAACATTTGCGCAGCTGTCAGGAGTATTTTGGAGGTATCCTTTGAAGCTGAAGCGGGCACAGCTATCTCTCCTTGTTGCCTTCTGGTATAAAAGCACACAAAGCCGTTCCTCATACTGTAATCTTATAAGCATGACTTGTAGTCTCACTCTATTTCTATTTCTGTTTTACCCCCCCTTGTTTTGGAAGCTACTTGAACACCTGAGCAATTAGAATTCTAACCAGGAAACAGATGTGTTGTTTTCAATGTGCCTAACTTGTTTCATAGTTCTTAGTCAAGCTTCTCACATTATAGAGTGAATCAAGGCTGGGTGAGAGCTGTCAAAAGATCCTTCGTATGGTGCCCCACTGGGATCTGCTCTAAAAAGTGTCCCCGCTTGAAGGTGGCTGATTGAAAGAGCATTGTCAAAAGGAGTGGAACACTTTAGGAGGATTCTGAGACCTTGCTTAGGTGAAGCAACATCTACTGATCTGCACATGGAAGATACCTTCAGCAGTTTCCATAGTCCTCTTGTAAATTTCCTTGCTTTGTCCATTCTTTCTTTTTTATAGGTCTCCTTGACACGTAGCCCACCAACCTATGAGACTGAGGGTGGAGGTCGCTTTCTCCTGTCCTATGACAGGACAGTGGTCATAAAAGAGATAACCAGTGAAGACGTAGCTGATGTGCATAGCCTTCTATCCCATTATCATCAGGTAAGACAAATTGCAGACATAATGGCTTCAGGGGGATTATAGCTAGATAAAAGTTTCTTTGACTTGAATCCAAAGATTGGTTAACTGGAAGATTGTTACAGAAGGAAAGTTTCCCTTCTGATCTTCTCTTTTCCTGTAATATACATTGCTAAAAAAAAAAGGCCTCACCCTCCAAAAAATTGCTAAGAAGGGTCAGGTAGCTATGGGGCCAACGGAGTCTAGGTAAAAGGGGTAAAATCTGGCTTTACAAGGCAAACATCAAGAATAAAAACCTTGAATGATTATAATATTATTTGTTATTATCTTCTTCCATGGTTTTATTCCTGACTTCTTAATCTGGGATTGAGGTTTCCCAGTGATCTCTGGTATTAACTAAATATAACCCTTCTAGTTTCAGAAGTAGAAGAGAAAAGGGGGCACTTTATGTGTGCATTTTCTTATTGATGCATCGTACAATAGCAAAAACATGTGCTTTAAAAACAAGTTTAGTTTTTGAGCTCAGTAGACTTGAATGTAAATGTAGGCAACTGCAGATCTGTGCATTATTTTTTTTCTGGGACAGAAAATACTGAAGCCTAATTACAGTCTAAAGAATTCCTTGTTTATTCCTAAGATTTGAATAGGAACAGCCATTTGTGTTCTAGCTTTGCTTCATGCCTTGGGAGCAAAAAATGTATTTTTCAACAGAAAGCTCTGAAGCTTGACATTTAGAAAAACAAAAAGATTAATGATATTTAGTCTTCTCTCCTGAGAAAAAGTGATTAAAAACATACAATCCCCCCACTAGGTGGTGCATTTGTCCTTTGGAGATTGTAGCTAGAGAGCTGTCTCCTCCGGTAATGTCTGAATATCCTCAAAGATGTGAATTATGCATTTCCATCTTTCATATCTGCATTCAAAATTTGAATCTGAAATTTGCAGGGAATCTTTACCAGTTTATTATTTATTAATAATAATGTTTATTATTGCCCTTAATAGTGCTTAGAGTAGGAACCAAAGGGCATGAGTGTTTGGAAACTGGATTTCTGACAGGCATGGGCTTTATTCTGAGATCAGGTACCATTTGCTTTCTGAAAGGATCTGATACCACACAGAATATGCCTGTACCTTTGACTGCTTCCACCATTATTAGGCTCCTTGAGAATTGTCACAACATTTTATAATTTTTTTTGTCACTATTTTCTTTCAGTACATTGTGAAATGTCATGGGAGTACCCTCTTGCCCCAATTCTTGGGTATGTACCGGCTCAGTGTTGACAACGAGGAGAGCTACATGCTGGTCATGAGGAACATGTTTAGTCACAGACTCACTATACACCGAAAGTATGATCTGAAGGTAATGGGTGATAGAGAAGAAGCATTGTGTGAATCGAGTCTCTGTTTATTCATCTCTTGCACGATGCTTACCTAAGTCATGTGAAAATGAAAGCCCACCCACCCCCACCATTTTTAATGCTTTTACGTATCAAGAAATAGTAAAAACCAATCGGTCTTTAGCAGTTCTTAAAAGAAGGTAAATACAACCTCAGATGGACAATTTTTTGTTCAGATGATTTTTTTTTTACTATGTCCTGATACGTAAAACCATAGAAGTCAAAAGAGTATGGTTTTTTTTCATGATTGTATGCATGCTGGTATATGTGGAGGTAGTTTTTATTTATGTGTTATTTGATTTTTATCTTGCCTTTATTATTATTTACAAGTAACTCAGGACAAAGAACATACTCCTTCCTCCTCCTATTTTCTTCATAATAACAAACCCTGTGAAATGGGTTGGGTTGAGAGAGTGACTGACCCAAATCACCAAGCTGGTTTTCATGCCTAAAGTGGGACTAGAACTCACTGTCTCCTAGTTCCTAGGCCAGTACCTTTAACTATTAGACCAAATTGACTCTCATTGTTTTACTTGTGGTTTAGCTCAATTATCCCCTGACACACTGTTTTGAAACAAAGCACTCAGACAAAGGGATTGACTCTTTACAAGGAAGAGGTGGGCTGTCAGGAGTTTCGGCTCATTTCTCTGACTCAGCCCATATTCACTGACATGTTCCAAAATTCCCAGTCATAGCTGTTTGGTACAATGACATACGGAGCTTTAAGGAGATATTGATTTCCAGATCTTTCTCTCCTGGGGAAGGGGAGGGGGAGGATGATACTTGTGTGATGACATCATCAGGCAATTGCAGCAATGTACCTGTAATAGACTAATATAAACATGTCATGGCATTTGCCTAGTGATATCCTTGTCCTTATATTGCTTTAGCATTAGTGGGTTTGGTGTGGATGCCGCTGTTTCCATAACATCCCCTTCTCTCCCTTTGAGGAACAGAAGGGGTTGAGCCAAGGGAGAAGTGCATAATTGATTTGGGAAACTGCACAGCCTTAAGTAGAATGTTGGTATCCAATCTCCGTACCTTGTAATAATCAAATTTCTCAATAAGGCATCCTCTTTGGATGATTATTCTATAAAAGGGATAATCATCATAAAGGAGTAATTGAGAAAAAGGGTCATTCAGATAGCAGTGTTTATTTAAAAATACCTGCTGCTTCACCAGGCAGTGTCTTAAAATGGTTTTGTGTCACAAATTGGCAAGCAAGCAAGCATGATTTCCATCTGATATGAGACAAGGGCGCTCGTGGAGTCGTTATTTAACAGTAAAGCCTCATGCTGTATATGCTTGGGTACATGGCTCTGATCAAGCTTCTTCCCACTTAATTGTGCTCAGCCCCAAACATCTGGTTTTAACCAAAGGTTTCACAGAGCTAGCAGCTGACACTATTTCTAACCACCTCTGTCCTTATCCATAACAGAAAGGGTAGTGCCTCTACTTGGGAGGAAGCACCATTCCCAAGTTCAGTGAGCTTTTATTCCTGAGTGAGAGATGTGGGATTGCAGGCTGGGATATGCTTAATTCATTCCATGAATCTTCTGCCACTGCCTGCCAGACTCCCTCATCATCCAGACACAGTGTCTATATTTAGATAATAAGCTCTTTAGGGCAAGGACTGCCTTTCGCTTATGTAGCTCTCTTCATGCATCATGGACTCCAGTGGCCTCTTCCAGGAGCAGATCACAATAGATAGATCTGTTTCAAAGACAAAATCCTTTGGGAGTCATTCCCCACCCCCACCCCCAACGCTACTGTACCCAATCGGTTATTTTTAAGGTCAGAAATGAGTCCTCGGTCCTAAAGCAAGCAAAGCATTCCCTCTGAGCTTTCTCTAGTCCTTTCTGCCACAGCTGAGTTAGAGTCTAACTGAGGAGGGATCTAGTCCTGCTCTGATAGCTGCCCATTGGAGAAGATCCATTCTGTTTTCCTGATAGTCTGTTAAACATCGGCTGTTGCTATACAAGGTAGCCTTCGACCTACGACTGCAGTTGAGCCCAAAATTTCTGTTGTTAAAGGAATCTGGCTTCCCTATTGACTTTGCTTGTCAGAAGGTCACAAAAAGGCAATTTACATGACCTTGGGGATACAGCAAGGGTCATAAATATGAACCAGTTGCCAAGCATCTGAATTTTGATCCCATGATCATGGGGATGCTGCCAAGGTCATAACTGTGAAAAACGGTCATAAGTCACATTTTTCAGTGATATTGTAACTTTGAAGGGTCACTAAATGAACTGTCGTAAGTTGAGGACTACCTATACTCCCATTTCCCATCAGGAGCAGCTTTCCTTGGGGGTAGTCCTGCAGAACCATGGCTGGAGTGGGATTTTGGCTGATGGGTAACCAAAGCGATAAGGGCATTCTGCCAAAAGCCTGTGCTTCATTTCCTGTTCCTCGTCCCAAAAAGCCTGCTAAGGCAGCCTAGTGAGATGGCTCTGGCTGCGAAGTTCTCCCTCCCCATATTTCCTGCCTTAGGATTGCCACACAAGGGCCCCCTTCTTTCCTTGGGGAATTCACTCAGCAGAGGAATGGTTTCAAATGCAAGGTCGCTCTTTTGCGCTGAAAAGCTCGGCTGGGAAAACGAGATGGGTCATGTCCATGCCTCTCTGCCTTAAGCCTGATTACGCATCATTAAATGCTGACCCAAAGCAAGTTCTCTCATACCAAGGTTATGTGGATAATTTACAAGCAGTGTTTGTATTCACAAGTATTTTAGGAGGCCACTCTCTGTGGAGGGGTCGGGGACTAGAAACTGCATTGCCACAAAGGGCTATAGCTCAAAATGCAGCCGGAGAATTGTTTATTAGTACATACATTATACAAGGATGCGGATTAAGTAATTTGCAGAGGCTGTTAATATATTTCTTGACGGTAAAATATTGCAGTATGTTTAACGTGCTGTTTACCCTGAAATTAATGCAAGTCCCAAAAATCAAGTCAGTCTGAGAAGGATGAATGGGCAGAAATGATACGGCAGTGTCAGTGAATTGAATGTGAGATTTGGGCTGCTTTCCATGTATGCGTTTTTAATACTTGACCTATTCCTCCATCAACATTATTTCTGGATCTACAAGAGATAGTGTTTTTCTTTTTCTTTTTGAATGAAATTTGGGTCTCAAGTGATGCCTTTCTTCGCTTTAGATGCTTATGCTGCCAGTAGGTTTATAACTCTTCCGAAGGTTAGCCTATCTCCCCGGGAAGCTTTGGAGCAGGGAGCTAGATTTAAATTTGTTGGGTCATTTCTCTATCTGATGCCAAGGGGTATTGCAATTACTTTGCAGAGTATAGAGGCAATATAATATAGTCTCTGCTCAGAAGGTTACATAAAAAAGTAATAAGGCAAATAGAAAAGCAGGGCAAATTAGCATTGTAAAAAGGAGAGACTGTGGGTGGGTATAGCAAAGGCCCCGAAGGTGTAGAAATTAACCAAGGCATTAGTGACAAGGACACCAAGGGGGTGTATCTTGACAGAAGGTTAGAAAGGGGGAAAAAGCAAGCAATAGCAGATGGTCTGGGGGCTTCTCAGTTGGTGTTGATAAGATTATTCCACATTCTGAGACATCTCAAGTACGTTCTATCGAGAGGATTTTTTTAAAGAGAAGGCACCAAATTTGGTGTAAATCCAGTTTCATGGTGGTACAACAATAGCATGTTGAATTTCTGACAAGTGAGCTTCCTTTTTGACTGCTGAAGTCTTAAAAAAATAGTAAAAACAAAACAAAACCATCCACTAAGGTTTTAGAACTCAGTGGGTGAGAAGCAAGTTCATATGTTGGCTTCATTAAGAACCTCTGGATAGCTTTAATTAAGTCATGTTTTCCCAGTTTCTTCTCTCCCTTCTATTAAGTAAAAAAAAAAATGCCTGCCACATATGTTCAGAATGAATAGAGGATGTGATTAATCTGTACCGTGAAAGTGTTACATTGTGTACTGTTGTTTTTTTTATGCTGCAACCCCTCCATTTCAGATCATCTGATATACCAAAAATAAATGTAAACCAATGTGTCCAGGAAATGGTTGAAAACCTATACCCATTCAGTATTATTCTTACATTATCTTTCCTGCTAAAGATAGTTTTGATATGAATTCATGGTGGGCCTATTGTTGAAAATGGTGTTGATGTCTCTATGCCTATTTTGCTGGGTGCCAAGAAATGACTAGTCAACTGTGGAGCCTCTGTAACCGTCTCATTAAATACTAGGACATACTTCGTAACTTGAAGGAATTGCTTTAAATATTGGAGGAGGAAGGGAGGACACACACACACATAACCTGAAGGCAGAATATAAAGCCACTATGCAAAGCACCATAAAGGTTCTTCCACTCCTCCTTCAAACTATCCAGTTAGGAGATAACAGCCAATAGCATTGAAACATTGGGATGAAATAAATGGAAGATACGAGTAAAAGAGGTTATAGAAAGATGAGAGATTTCCTTACCAATTTCCTTGCCATCTAAAATGATAGTATTAATCATGAAACAATTTACGGTTTATATGTTTTAATTTGTGCACCTTGGTATATAGTCATGCTAGCCGTATGACCATGAAAATGTTTTTGGACAATGCTTGCTCCCTCTGCTAAGAAACTTAGATGAGCACCAGCTCCTAGAGTCATACACAACTAGACAAGGGAAACCTTTACCTTTATTTTTTAACTGACTGTGGTTATGATGATTTTATTTAACATATGTCCCGCTATGGCAGCCCTTTGGAAGGTTTAACATAACTCTTCACCTTCCATTGAGATTTTAAAGTTTCTGATCTTATGAACCATTTTCCCTCCCACTTTCTAATAATTTTATGTTAACACTTTAATTTGAAAGATGCTCCAAAAATACACACCTTATCTTATGTTTTCTAGACCGTAATCCTTATGTTCTTGCCTTTTTTAGGGTTCACTGATATCCCGTGAAGCCAGTGACAAAGAGAAGGTAATTGGTGATTGTAGGTGCATTTTCATGTTAACCTGATATGGGTTGAGTTTGCTGGCACAATCCAACATGGTATTATAGCTTTCTCTGCACAAAGGTAATACAGATTATGTCTAAACATGATTGTTTTTATTTCATAAACCACAATTAGCTGAATTCATGCCCAAAGTTAAGCCAAGAGGGGGCAATCTCTCACTCTCTCTTTCTTGACTCCGGGAAGGCTTGTGAGAACATGGAATCAACACTAAGCAGAAAAATGGCCCATCTCACTGGCATGGTTTTTCCTTAATTTTAAGTTTTGGAGCGGGGAGGGTTAATTTAAAGATGGAAATGGTGTGCAGAAGGCCTCTGAAAACAAATTTAAACACTCTCATTTCCATCTTCAATCTCTCCATTTGAGTAAACTGACTTTTTTGCCCTTGTTCCTTCTAATGGTATCATTATCACTGGAAGGCTTCTAGAAGTTCCAGGTCAAGAAACTGAGTAGTAGGTACCCAATCCAGAAGGAGTCATGTACATTAATAGGATTTGCATGATCTAGTACACTGTCAGTTGGACAAAGTACAGAATAATATGTATACCCTGCTACTGGATAATGTTTCATGTAACCTATAAAATCATCAAAAGTTGAACTTAATCAAGGGAGTCTTTGCTTTTTTTTTTTTTAAAGCAAAGATGGATAACCTGCATCCCCCATACTTTTTCTAGAACTGCTGGAATATCCTATTATGTGTCTTATGTTATGCTTCACTTGAAGTTGATGTATTTTCTACAATTTTAAAGTTAGAGACCTACAAAATCTAAAATAGATTTAGTCCCTTTACAATAAAAGAAAAAGTAATAAAACTGCATCGTTTCCCTGACCCCTGGTATTTTCGTTTCCTCCTTTGTAACTCTCAGTTATCACTCTAAGCTTAAAGTGAGCTTTCTCTTTTTAAATATAAACATAAGACATACATAATAGAAAGGGGGGAGATAGACAGACATGATTTAAGGTACCATTTTAAGAACTTAAATGCAAAACCCTGGTATTAATGGGAACATAGAAAAATGTGATATTGGGCAGAAATGCTACTTCCTGGGAATTATTTTAAGAGCAATTTCAAAATAGGTTAAGAATGACTTTTTATGTTCCTTAAACTGACAATTGAAAGGTATATGCTCCATAATTAGTTTAACTCTGCTATTAGTGAGAACAGAAGTAGATATTTTCTTATCTTTTCTGAAGGGTGTTTAAAATATTTTTATCTCACTTTACAATTACATGGTTTGGGCTATTTGCATTGATTTGCAATTGCCATTTTTGTCTCACCTTTCCACCAAGGAATGACCCTAAGCCAGATCATCAGTTTAAAAGTTACACTGAAACCACAATGCAAAACCACAGCCTATATATGGGGAAGACACAATCCACAAAATGAAAACCTTTTATTCTATAGTACATGTACACACAAAACCTTAGCTTCATTTTTATATTATTTTGCCACTTTTTATTGCTTCTAGTTCTGTCTTCCAAATATGGATTTAGCAAATTTCAGTTGAAGTTTGACTTGCTTCATCTGCCTCTTTTTCATGAAACTGTCCTCTTTTCCAGGGCAAGGAACTACCAACTCTGAAGGACATTGATTTCCTAAACATGAACCAGAAAGTGTACATCAGTGAAGAGACCAAAAAAGACTTTATGGAAAAGTTGAAGCGAGATGTAGAGGTATTGTAACTTTCTCAGTCTGATCTAGTATAACAAGAGGGGTGGTTATGGGTCAGTAATCTAATGGGGCAAGCTGTGGATGCTAAAGAGAGACTTTTAAAGGTAAAGTGGGCAATTTTTCATGGTTCAGTTGAGTCTGAGAAGGTGTTACTAATGGTAACCCACCCTACTGTTCTGATTCCCATCTTAATACCTTTTAAGGTCAAAAGTTACAATTTTCTCTCTAGTATCTGTCAGCAAGTCAACTCCTTCCATTACTCCCTATCTCTAAATAACATCTAATGTTGTGCTTGTGGTATGGGAGCATCTGCAGCATTCCTGACCAGAAGCACCAAGGCTTCTTCCCTGTCTGCGTCCCTCTTCTGGATTTGAGGCTGAAAAAGCCATAATACTGGAATGCCATCTGTATGGCACAAGGGAAGGATGCCACAATGGTTCTCACGTCACAGACTGAATATGAGCTTTGCTATTGCACTCCCCCCCCCCCTACATTTCTGCTTCTTTCCCTGTTTCCCACGCTTGAGCCATTGAAATTGCCATCTTCCTACTGCGAATTTCCTTGGAGGAATTTGACTGAATTTTTTTGTACAGTTCCTCATAACTGATAATCTGCTTCTTTAAACTAACAAGCCGCCCAGCAATATAAACAGGAAATGTCCTTAAAAGGGAGAAAATATTCTCAGTATAATTATTTGTAGGCAGATCCTTTTCTGACAACTCATCAAGTCTTAGGCTTGGGAAAATTACAGGGGCAGTGATGTCATCCTCAGTTGGAGGATGTCATGAAGAATTGTATAGTTTGAGAGTAATTGGTTCTTGTTTCTGAAGAACCAAAAACTGTTCCCAAACTGTGTTCTAAGGTTCCAGGTTGGCTCTGGAAGGCAATGGGGTAGGACTTTTTGACACAATGAGCAAAGGGCTTTCAGTAACTATATTCAGTTTGCTCCAGGCAACCCTGAAGGTCATTGATACAGTATATATGATGGACCTCTCTTCCTCTGGGTATTTTTCCCTATATTATTTGCATGTGGCAAAAAGCATTGTTTCTGTGATGACCCAGAGTGTAACACAAACATAACAAAATCCAAAATGTAAATAAATGTCCTTTAATGCTTCCAACTTGGCCCCACTGTTCAATAATACTCAGTTGGAGATAAAACATACTCAAAAATAGTCTTCAAAAGAAAGCAATACAGTCCGAACTTAATGAGCAGATAGAGGTGAAATAAAAAAACCAAACAAACTACAATGACAAAATTTCCACAACGGAACAGGAGAAGTATTTATCAAATTCAAGGAGATAACAAGGCACAGTCTGTTGGAAGGATGCCAACCAAAATAACTTCAGACCAAAATAAAACACGCTTTATCTCCAGCGTTTGCCAGAACGCAGGTCCAAACTCTTATTCAGTTCTCACACCTGCAGCCCATGAAGAGGATCGAGGCCCTCTCCTCCCGAGGAGACCACGTCTCTCCCTAATCCTCTGCTTCCTGTGTGCCCTAGGATGGATAGGGGATGGGCCCGGGTCCTCCTCTGACTGCTCAGCCGGCCTCTGCCCTTCCCCAGCCTCCTCCACAACCTCCACAGCCACACTTCCACTTCCTGTTGGCTGTTTCTCTTCTCCCTCAGAGTCAGTCTCCACCAGGGGTATTGACGGGTTCCCAGGATATTTCTAGAGTTGTACAGCATTCTTATCTCAGGAGGATTACATAGCAGCAAATCACTTTCCCTCCATTCTTTTCATAAGCTAATTTGGGAATTTTTGAAGCTGCCTCCTAGCTTCTGAATTTTCTAGTCATCTAAGGTCGGGTGGAGATTCTATCAGCCCTGTCAAAGATGACATGTTAGAGAAGGGTGCTTCAGAGTCTCTGTAGATATGATTGATTTGAGTGACAGGATATAATCGTATTGAGAATCAGGGAAGTCAGTGTACATAATGTTTATTGGCTGGCATTTGTGTCATCATAAAGGCACACTCTTTTAACTAAAAACATTTTTCAATTTATGTGAACTTGTAATGGCAGAATTGTATAGAAAGCTCTTTAAACAAAATGTAACACCGAAAAGGAGAAAGGCAATTCTAAGCATTTAACTGGCCCCAGATTAATGGCAGGAAGGGTTGTTTCCATGGCAGAAGGGGAAGAAATCTAAGCTTCTCATGAGAAGTAAAGTTCATAGCAACTGTTATGTACTGAGGTATTTATTCATTGTTTTCTTATCTCTAGTTCCTTGTTTTGCTTTTTTATTCTTTCAGACTTCTGGTATGGCAGCTGCAAATATTTGTACTGTATTTGTAACTTTGAGGGACAAGTTCTGTTGTGAAAGAATTGTGGTTCAGCTCTCTGGTAGAGGTCTCAGACCCCGATTTTCTGAATTGCTGGTCAACATTTGCACCCCATTTGCCATAATGAGGTGAGAATTGAGGTTAACTTCCAGTTCTGGAAAAAAATTGCTCACAGCTAGCATTTCATCAGCTATTATATTTCCTTAGGGATTGAATCTGCAGAATTTAAACTACTTCTGCAGTGTGAGATTTTCCTTATTGGCCTTAATGACTGTTAATAGCATGTGATTGGGGGGGGGGGAGGACTGCAGATGCTCAATGTCTAACTATTAACCTCATATACCATGCAGACTTTCTCCTTCATCAGCTCTGTTTCTCTCAAATGTTCTGATTTTTCTTGCTCCAACTTCAGTTTTACTGCTGACCCAAATCAGGGGACTGGTGGGCAATGGGCTTCTTGTTTTTTTTTTTTTAAATGATGCTTTGGATGTGACAATTGAGGTCACTTAGTGTCAGCCCCTAGGCACAAGTAGGCTGAAATCTTCTGCTGATCTTCTAAATGAAAGTCTCAGCCTCATGAGCAATACACTGAATGTTTCCAGTGAAGTTGTAGGAGATGACCAGACTGGAGCCAGAGGGAAGGTTCAAACACATCATCATTCCGTTGACTCTTATCTACCATCAACTAGCTTTTACCGTTAGTAGTTCAGATTCTTGTAGAGAGCTTTAGCTTACAATAAACCTAAATATTCATTTGAACTGCCTGGACTCATGATTTCCCTGCACTTGGTAGGAGTTGGCCAAACAAGGACAGGTCTTGTTTCTGTATTATGTTTCTGTTGTTGGAATCCACCTGGTTCAGTTCCAAGCTGGGAGAAAGAATCCACCTGCTTCAGTTCCAAGCTGGAGAAAGACACTGGAAACACGGAGGCTGTTTGGAAAGGAAGGTTCCATTTATTGATGAAGTAAAACCATCAACCACATGTGATTTTTGGGACAGCTGACAAAATGGAGTTGAGAGTGGGGTGGTATACCTTCTTTGGGCTTTGTATTTGAGCTTCCTGTTCCTGTGCGAGAACATGTATTCTATTGGCTGTTGTCAGATTCCTGCGGGGTCCTGTAGGGGTCAAAGCTGGCTCCATAGGCAAACGAGGAAATGCAAATCTTAGGTGCTTGTCTGAGCTAAGTTTGGTTGAAGTTTGGACTGCTTTGCAGGCGGTGCAATATCTGAAATGCCCTTAGGACATTGTGCAATGTAGTGAGCTCTGTGTCTTCTGCTAAATGGTAGTGGGTTAATCCTATTATGTTCTGAAGGATCATGTCCTGTTCTTCTTAATCCCACCATCCTGGAGCTGAAGGTCTGATAGGCTGGCCCAGTCTTTCTTAATGGGTACAAAATATTTGCTGGATGCTATTAAGAAAGACTGAGTCTGTTTTCTGCCTCTAAAAAACATGTTTCTCCATTTCTCATTTAGGGAAATATAATATTCTGCCTTTTAAAATATTCCTCAAAGTATTTCATTCTTCTAGGAGAGGGTTGCTTCCCACAATGTTAATGCTTGCTGATTGGTTCTTCACAAAAAGTGAGGTTAGATTTAGGATTTTTCTTTGCTTTCTGGATAAGGAGTTTCAGAAGAGATGAGAATAAATTTATTTGTTAATTATATTTTTTATTCCGCCTTTATTACTTTATAAATAACTCAACATACATTAAACTCCTTCATCCTCCTATTTTCCCCACAGCGACAACCCTGTGAGGTGGATTGGACTGAGAGACTGACTAGTCCAAAGTCACCCAGCTGGCTTTCACAGCTAAAATGGGACTAGAATTCACCATCTCCTGGTTTCCAGACCAGCACCTTAACCACTACATTGTACTTTAACCACCAATATTCATCAATCTTCTGAACTTGATGGCTCCCGCTCCAGATAGATTAAGGCTAACAACACTCAGAAAGCTCAGTTAGGATGGCCATTAGCCAGAACCTGTGGGTGTTCTAGTCACAGAATACCAGGAGAAAACCAGATTGAGAAAGCCGCACATAATGATCTCTTGGTATCCCTCTACCATATAATATTAAGAGCAATTTTATTGTGTGATGTCTTGTTTATTTAATAGCTTGGCTTTCATTCCCAGAAACCCTCAATAATACATTTGGGACTTTTCTCTCCCTTCTTTGCTACCCACTCAAATGCTTCTGTGAGATATTTCTGACTGGTTCACAAACCCTAGTGAGCTTTATGGCTATGTGGGGATTTGAACCTGCGTCTCTTCTGGCTCTAGTTCCGTACTCTTAAGCACAACTCCATACTTGCTTTCAATCTGGCAGCCTTGTTATAAAAATGACTGATGTAATGTAACATGGAATTCTTCGGAGAATTGAAAATATGCTTTTAGCGATAAGCTTTTTTTCCCTTCTTCTCCCTGATGGCTGTAAAGAAAGAAGTGGTGGAATGGAGTAAAATCTCTGTTCTGTTCATTAATTAGGATGCCTAATGTTTTTATCCTGCAGAAGGAAAAGGCTATAGCAAATGCTTACAGTTCTATGAGATAGTTAGACTGAGATGTGAGGGTGATTGATCTAAATGAGTATAATGACCTAAAGAGGGAGGGAACTTAAGTCCCATGAAGATAGATTGAAAGAATTGCGGGTGGTTATTTGACAGTAATCTTCAAATACCTGAATGGATGCCACACAAGAGTAGGCCAAGATTGATCTCCGTTGCTCAAGAGTACAGGACACAAAATGATGGATTTCACTGACAAACAACAATAAAGCTTCAAATACAGTTCCATAGTAGATGAGAATTACCCAATCAAATAGAGACAAAACAGGATCTGTCTGTCTGTCCAACCATCCATCTCCCACCTATATTATTTTTAAAAATAAGGCAGCCAACATATCCAACACACCTTCCTTCTCCTGTTTTCCCCACAACAAAAACTGTACGGTGAGTTGGGCTGAGAGACAGTGATTGGCTTAAGATCTCCCAAGCTGGCTCTCATGGCTAAGGCAAGACTTGAGCTCACGATCTCTTGCTTTCTAGCCTGGAGCCTAAACCACTAGACTGTACTGGCTCTCATTTGTTGGGGTTGCTTTAATTTAAATTTCTGCACTTTGCACAAGGTTAGATTCAATGGGTTTAAACGCCCTTCCCACTCTATGATTCTTTTTCATTGTGACTGCTTAATATCCTGGTTAAAAACATGAACTGTGATCTGAGAAGTTTCTAGTTAAAAAATTATAGGTTTTGAAGTGATGCTTTTCCCAAGATTATTCTAGATCTTTTAGTCTTAGTCTTAGTTACTGTCATATGGTATAAGAATAAACTCATTCATGCCAGCATTATTGAATTATAATTCAATAGTAATTGTATAGAACCACTTAGATGCTTTGACCAAATGAAAACACTTAATAAATGTCAAATATTTGCTTGTGGAGGAATCTTCTGTGCTTCCGTTTCTCTTAGAACAAGGGTCCCCAATCCCCGGTCTGTGGACTGGCACTGGTCCGCGGCATGCCAGAAACTGGGCCGCTCAACAAGTGAAGGCCCATTGGTGGAATGCAGGCAGCACACAAAAATACACCCCCTCCAGTCCATGGAAAAACCTCTCTATGTAACTGGTCCCTGGTGCCCAAAAGGTAGGGGGGGCACTGTCTTAGAAGACTGTTTTATGTCTTTGAGTACTGAAAGCAAATGTTCACCAAAAACAGCTTCTGGTTCCTGAAGCCAGGTTGACCTACTGTAATATGTATTCAATTTCTGAGTTTTAGATAGTTCTTTAACTTCTTATCATTGTAATTGTGTTGCCTTTCAATAACCTTTGTAACTGCCATTGTGCCAATACTCTTGAGAGGGGTTGGGCTCGGTTTTTTCCCTAATTCCACAGGGTGGGAAAGAAAAGGCTTGTTTTAAAAAGATTAATCATTCCAGTTATAGAAAAGGGCTCACGTTTGAGAATTAAAGTTGGATGCATTCCATTTGGAAAGTAGGCCCACTAGTTTGAACAGCCAAAGCAATTAATCATGGGGACAGGTTGCCAAAGGGGGAGTGTCCCCCTCCCTCAGCACATGCCATCTTTAGATTAAAACTCAACTCCTTTTAAAAGCAAGAACTGTTTTTATGCTTGTTTGAATTCAGGGTAAATGCAATGTAAACTTTGATTTTGCTGTCACAGCTGCTAGATGAATCTATACATGCATGATAGCTTGAGTGTTTAACTCTTAACATGACACAACGTAGTGGTTTAAGGTGTATTTATCAGTTAAGATACCATAAACAGATAATCAGTTTATACCGTGCTGATTTTGGAGTTTTGGGGTCTAGGCAAACTGGTTTTGTTATCAAGTTATCAAAATGTAAAAAGGCCAGAGCAAGGAAAATAACCATGATATATTCTTGAACTGCTTTCTGTATGCAAAACAGGCTATGTTTTAAGTGTAGTTCATTAGATGAATTACAGCCCCAGACATGTTGAGTCATAAATCTTGGTATACAAATTACAAGGGTGTTATTAGGTGTGCAAAGGTAGTTTGCACCGATCCACATTATGGCCTAGTATTGCTGGGGATCATCACAATCCAGAATAGGAAACTAATTTGAGTCATCTTGATTGAAGAATGGGTTTTTACAACATTCAAGAGTTAAAATCTTAGGTCTAATCTTTGAGATGCTGAAATAGCAAGCTGGGTTTAGATGAAATTCAAATGTCTAGTTGCCTACAAAATTTGCAGGGAAGTCTCAGGCAAGCCAATAATACCATCTGCCCAGATGGATCCATCTTAGATTCTTAATTTTGTATGATGTCCTTGATGTTAGTGTGTCCATGGATATCTTCCTTGCAGATCATTCTACTTTAAAAAAGAAACTTTTTAAGTCTAAGCAATTTTTAAAGGAAACTAATGTAGTGCAAATAACCAATGCTGACCAGATTTTTAATTTCCCCAAATAATCTTGGATTTCTCATAGACTCCTCCGTATTGGTTGAGAATAAATATGGGATGCTTATGTAGCACAAGTACCTATTTGTAAATTTGCCCACATGCCTAAGAAAAAAATAAACCACAGGTTGATAGTGAACAGAGAACAGGGTCACCAAATTTGCAAATTGGGCATTTGTTACCATACATTGTCTGCCCCCTACAGCCATTTAGTAAATGAGCAATTGAATGGTGGTTTTCATGGAGCACCCAAAACATGTTCTCAGAATGAATGAAATCTTGTTAGTCGCAGCCAGTGTGAATAACCAACTTTATTTGGATGGCCTTAGTTTGGAGAAAGCCTACCTTTAAAGTTTATGTTTATTTTGAAGCTATGTTGAAACCTTGCTATTTTCAGGCTTCTTTTGAGCTAAACTAGCTACAATGTACCTCTAAAACAGCAATAGAATGACAGTTGTGACTGATGCCTCTCAGCAGTAGAAGCGTGGTTTTAATGTGGGCTTGTTGGCAAGCACACAGACAAAGGTTATAGATACCTTTTTGAACCTGGGGAGTTCCCTGTGATATTTTAATCATTCTTTTTTAATCACATAGATCCAGAAGCGGCATTCAATTAAGCAACAATCATCAAAGTATAATATGTGTGTTATTTTGAATTTACCATTAGCAAAGCCCCATATATACATATTAAGAACAACAGCAATAACAATTATATTAGAAAAACCTATAAGCTCTCACTAAAAGCAGTTGTTCCATTTGAACAGGAGACTTATTTATTTTTAAAAAGAATATCTTTTCTGTCTTTTTGCCTGTTGTCCTGAAGAGTCGAGGAAAGCATCTCTGATAATTACTTTAGTCCTTGGATAGAAAAATATGGGAGAATGAATAACTATTGCAAGGCTGTTAAATCAAAGAAAGACCAGGGATGGTTCCTCAGTCTAAGCTAATAAAAGGTCGTCTCAGTGAGGACATTCAGCTCTACAATTCCCCATAGGCTACATATCTAATTCTTTAGAATATAGTCCCCTCCAGGGTGAACAGTACCTTACTGAATTAAGTGTGTTTCCTTCTGAAACTGTAGCTTGCTATATGTCAAAGCAGTATTTCCTCCTAGGTTGGCTATATATTGTTTTGGTGAGGGAAACTGTTTTGGTCACTTTGGGAGCTGTTGTGATACTACAAAAGAGTAGCAGTCACAGTTTATTGAAATGACTCTCCATTCTCCCCATTAAGAGATCATGGGATCTTAAGCATTATGACAGTCTTCAAGTAAAATATAGTGAAAAGGACAGAGACAGATGCAAAAGAGCATGAAGTGATTAAAATCTTTGCAATTTTATAATATAAATTATAAAAATTGTTTCATGAGTTTGTGTTGTGGGATTTTCATTTGGAATGAATAATGAGACAAACATATACATCTCCTGGCCTTCTCACTATTGCGTTTGTTTCTTCAGTTCCTAGTGCAGCTAAAGATTATGGACTACAGCCTTCTGTTGGGTATCCATGATGTACAGCGAGCTGAACAAGAAGAAGAGGAAGACATAAAAGAGGAAGAGGAAGATGGAGAGGGTGAACCAGGGGCACCTGTGGGCTCATATGGAACATATCCTGAGGGCATTGGCAGTTATCTGAACTCCCACAAACCGCTGGAGCCTGGTGACTTTGACCCTTATATTGATGTCTATGCCACGAAGAGTGCTGAAAGTAAGTTGGGATAAAACAAAATTTTTATTAAACTGGTGTTTAAATGGATAGAAAAATGCCTTCGGGCCTTTTGTTTATTGCAGCATTTTGCACACCAGAATCTGTATCATAGTTACTATCATCTTAGTTCATCTTAGTTTATCAAGAAAGTTTTGCCTTTAGTCACTTCCAGAGAACACTCCAGAGTACAGAAGTCAGTTCTTTTACTTTAATTTTCTCTTGTCATATGTGATTACAGGCAGCCCAGAAATATCAGAAACAGCCTTTTGTTGAGTCAAATCATTCATCCATCTTGCCTAGGAGTGATTAACTAGCAAGGATTCCAAAGTTTGCGGCTAGCTAAAAAAAAAAGCCTTGCTTAAATACTTAATATAATCAGTATATACAATAAATATCAAGCAGTGGAATCTCCTCCTAGCTTATAATCTTGAAAGGCATGCACAAAGGATAACTGAGTAACATCTGATTAAAACTGAAATCCCAGGGTAGTTTAAGCAGGGTTTGTGAAGGAGTTCCCTTTGTTAATTCCAAAATACTAGATTACTCTTTTTCAAGCTGACACCCTCCAAGTAAGTTGTCCTACAGCTCCTGTAATTTTCAGCTGGTCAGTCAAAGGTGTTGCTGAATGGGCATTATGGGGAGTTTCCAGACTGTACTAGTTTCCAGAGTTTCCAGACTGTACTAGTTTGGGAAAGGCTCCACCAAACTCATAAAAGGATTATTTTAACTGTGGTATCAAAGATGTATGTGTGCCTTGTGGTATATTCCAACTGTAACATCGGGTCCTCTCAATTTGCTCTGTGCCTGTGGCTAGTTATACAGGTCTTCAACTTACAACCATTCATTGAAAAAAATGACTTTTGACCGTTTTTCACATGACTGTTGTAACATCCCTAAGATCACGTGATCAAAATTCAATTGCTTGACAAGTGGCTCATATTTATGATGGTTGCAGTGACCTTCTGACAGGCAAAGTTGATGGGGAAGCCAGATTCATTTAACAACCAAGTTATTAACTTAACTGTAGTGATTCACTTAACTGAGGCAACTCACTTAACAACTACTTTGCTTAATGTGATATAAATCAAATTGACAGGAGACTCATGAACAAATTCAGAGCATGTTTATTGAAAAGTATTTGCAAAGGCTGGAATCCTCCTTTGGGCTCAACTGTAGTCATAAATCAAGGACCACCTGTATTTAACTATTTGTACCAGGATGGTCTTTCTTCAGCGCATCAACTTTTGTAACCTCTTTATTTATGGAAGGGAGAGAGTGGTGCTGATTACATGTCAGTCAGATCTGGATATCAGCTTCCGAGAAAGAAGGTGTTTAATAACCAGAATTGTCTTTAATATTTTTTGTATATTGCTATGGGCTTGAATTTGCAATGCAAGTTACACAGAAGGAAGATAAAGAAGTATACATAAATTTTATTAAAGTCTTAGACCAGCCTGTGAACCTAAAGAATGTGGTTGCTCAAATCAATTACTCAGGATTGGTTTGCTATATTTTGATTCAGGAAAGGAATCTTTTCTTCCTGCCTCAACCCTGTATAACTACTCTTTTTGCTTATGTATTTCCTATGGGGGCTTTGTTGTTATTGATGTTCATCTTTTGGGTTTGCGTATGGATATTTGTATGGAAGGAGGATACAGGTAAAATATGGAATCATATGTAACCTTCACTGTTTTCTCTTACTTTTCTAGATAGTCCCCAAAAAGAGGTTTACTTCATGGGCCTCATAGACATCCTAACGCAGTATGATGCCAGGAAGAAGGCTGCCCATGCAGCTAAGACAGTCAAGCATGGGGTGAGTTTGGCTTGCCACCCTGTCTGTTATGGCGATCAAATAATGCTAAGAAGTGAGCCATGCTTTTGATTAGCTGGCCAGCACCCCAGCCTTTATCTTCCCTTCCCATGACCATTATTTCTGCCAAATAGTGTACTCTTTTCCTGCTTCAGCATTACTTTTTCCTTCTGAGTAACTGAATGGCCAAAGGCTGTCCCTCTTAAGTTGGTTATATTGTATCATCACTGTGTGATAGAGAAGGCATAAAAGTGGCCTTTCCTATAGATAGGAGCTGTTCCAGTGTCTTGCTGTATGCTTGGGAGCAGCAGGAATTTAGAATCTCTTCTAATTATGAGGGAAACAGAGAAGAAACCATAATCCCAACCAGCATAACCATTGGCAGTGCATGACTACCCCATGGAGTGGGGACACACTGAAATTGAGGATTTATTGTTTTAAGTTAGTTATCAGAGATAACTCCTGATACTTTTTATCTAGCTTTTTAAATCAAAGAATAGTTGTGTCCTAAAGAATACAATTGATGTGAGTTTTGTAGCTACAGACTAGAAGCAAGGAAGTGAAGTGGAGAAACTATGTCAGTGCCAGGAGGACCTGCACCACCCCTCAACAGAATTTTGTTTTAAAATGCTATTTGCTGTGGGTGATTCATAGAAGAGTTATTTTTATTGTACCATTGGGGCAATGGCTTTTATGTTTTTTAAGTACAAGGACATTTCCTTGAGGGGAAGATGGGAAGGAGCAGATATAATGTATTCAAGAGAAGAAGCAAGAGGGATGTTCCACTGGGTCAGAAATATTTGCAGTGGAGAATACGCATGTTAATAGCAGCTGATCAATACATTTTAGTTTTAGATATATATCTGATCTTTATTTTGTACAGCTAAAGGCAGTATTCATACCTAATGTTCCTTCCTCCCATTTTCCCCACAATAAGGACTCTATGACATGGGTTGGGCTGAAAGTGTCTAGCCCAGCTGGTTTTCATGCCTAAGGGTTGGAACACTCCAAGGTTCTAGACTAGCACCTTAACTGCTACTCCTGGTTGGCTTTATGGAACTTAGGACTCAGGTGTTATATCCCCAGTGTCTCCAATATTCACAGCCCGTTGCCACACTGCTTTCACTGTAATGATTAAGAATTAAGGGGGCTGTTTTGTGGTAGCTGTTGACATTTTGTCTTCCCCTACAGGCTGGTGCAGAGATCTCTACAGTGCATCCAGAACAATATGCCAAGCGCTTTCTGGACTTTGTCACCAATATATTTGCTTAGCCGTTTTTCAGTATGTCTTGTTGACCCAAATCAAAACCTTTTCAGCACCTTTGTAGTTGTCCCTCACCCTGCTCCCTGATTCTCCGTAAGTAGGATAGTTTTCATCCTGCTATTCTGGGGTCAGCAGGGGAATTGGGCTGACTTCAGACGAGCCCCACTCTTGCAACTGAGGGACGGCTGCTGAACCAAGTGCCTTAACTCTGATCTTCTGCTGAGGTGAGAAATGATCCAGAGTACCAAAGAAACTGGTTATGAATGCTTCGAGGAGCTGCTTCTCCTTCCATGCAGGAGGAAGAGGAGTGGCTGGTTTTTATCTAAACACTGACTTCTTCCTTTCCGTTAAATAGTACCAGTGTTTCATCATTTAGAGCAGGATAATGTTGAAATAGAACAATATGCAATGCGGAGTTAGTCGTGCCTTGGAAGAAGGGGGTTGAAGGGAATCTTCCCCATTTACACAATCAAATATTGTATCCTACAATACCCCATTTTACTGCCTGTTTCAAAGCCATGTACGTTGTATACCTTTTCTACCATCCCTGTATACACAAATGGAAGACTGTACTGTGCCCCATCCTTGTGAATAGTTTTGCTCTGATTCTAGTCCTGTTGTCGATAATAGAAATCTCTCCTACTAAAGAAAAGAGCCCAGCACTGAAACCAGTATCCCTTAAGCTGTTTTCCATGTAGAATTGCAGGTTCTTTGAACTTTGTGACCCACAGGTTGCTATTGATGAGAAAAAATATTTTAGGTTCATTGCTCTCGTGTATCCATTTTCCTTCCCTTTTCTAGTTGAAGCAGGGTTTGGGAGGTTATCTGCTAAATAAATTTGGAGTAAACTCCTGAGTAATAGCACTATCATCTGAGTCCCTATTCTGGATACCGTAGAGCTTCTTTGAGTCTCCCTTGTCAGAAGACACAATAACTCTAATCTTTGGGGTAATTTATACAGGGGGTGTCTATTGGGCACATAACCCAGATTGAGTTGGCATAACCCACAAAAGGGCCTAAGGTATATCTAGACTACACTATATAATACTACATTTGAAAGCTGCTGAGAAATGCTAAAGGTGAAAGTCCTTGCCATTTAGTTTGTAAACCTTTAACATTAAAATTAAAGCAAGTCTCAGATGTTGGTGAACTGGCAACAGCATCAATATCATGACCAATAAAGGTAGGGACTGTTGAGAGTTCAGCAACGGATAGAGAGCATTGGTTGCCTATCCAATCATAAACACCTCCATGTTGAAGTGGGAATCAGACCAAGCCTCATTTATTTTGTTTAGTGTTGTGGGATAGGGAAGGTATCATGCCCAACTTCAGGATGCTATGAGAAGCAGCACCTATCTGTCTATGCATAACGGCGCTATATGTTTCTTTGTATATATATCAAATTGGCAAACCAATGTATTTTGGGAAAATGGCTTGTCTCAGTGGTTGATCAAAAAGCCTCTCAAGCGGAGGAAACTGCTATAAATTAGCAGATGCATTAAAAACAAAATCCCTTTTCATTCACCAGAATAGAAATTCTTGGATACTTCATTTAACAAAGGAATGCAGACAAGGAACTGGATAAATTAAATGATCATTATTCATTTATTGTTGGCTTGGTTAAGAGATCTCGCATTATCTAGTAGCTGTCCTAGCAGCATGGGGAAGCAATCACACTCCAACTGTCTCTGAACTATAATTCCCAATAACTCCAGCTCTCTATGGTCATTTATGACAAACACTGGGAATTACAGTTCAGCAACATCAAGGGCCAATATTACATACCTGGAAGCTCTAGTTATAGTTCAGGGTACAGTGCTACTCAGTTTGTTGCTTTGGACCTAAAACATGCAGACTTTATGGTTTTTCATGTTTTCCCTTTCTGCCCATTACTGGTGTGTTGGGACTGATGTCATTTCAGCTCCCAGCACACTAAGGACTGTGCCATGGAGATACATTTATGCTGTGGGGCTGTCTTCCTTCCAACCTCTTTCAGTGTTTTGTAATTGTATACAATATGTATTTCTGGTTTACTCTTGTATGGCTAAAAATAAATTATTGAACCAAAAGTTGTCTGTATGAAGTGCCCAGCTGTGCTGTTGTATACTGCTAACCTAGCGGGGTAGAAGGGTGAACTCTCTGTTTCAGTGAAAGAAGAAAAGACTTTCCTAGGCTCTTCACAGCTTTCTGAATTGAAATGATGTCAATTATTTTTACTTATCACATTTCTGAACTTTCAGGAAAAAAATTATCCAAGCTTCGGGGGGAGACAAATCAGTTAAACAAGAATGTTATGATTTTGGCCAGATGAATCAGGGTTAATTTGAAATGAAACTGGAGACATTAAGTCTTGTCTGGATTGCCCTCTTCACTAGCAGGAGATCTTGTTTCAAGCTGGTTTGATTTATAAAGAAGATGACAGCAATTTGGCAGGATTCATGCTTTTTAATTGCTTGTTTAATTATCCAAGATTCACCATTCCTACCGAAAACTGATCAAGAACTGATACTCCTGCAAAACTTCCTTTGCGGATGAGAGTTCTATCATTAACCGAGACTGCATACATAAACAATCCTTATCTGTCTATTATAATAGTATTATTATAACAGTTGAGTGTCAGACAGTCTCTGTATCTAAAAAGATTAAGATCATTTCAATCCATTGATCTTTTGAGATGCAAAAGATTCTTAAGTTGAATAGCTATTATAGTCTATAAGTAATTTGCAGTTAAAGTCAGTTAAGACTTAATTCAAGTCTCAACCAAGGACCTAAGAATTGTTAGGATAGTGCTTAAGAATCTCTGCAGTTTCAAACAGGGTGTCTTTTTGTAAAAAATAGGGTGTTCAAGTGTGATAAATTCAATATATCCATATATTGAGGAAGTCCTTTAGGTATTGTTCTGAGGGCTCCAATCACGATTGGTGTAAAAATGGATTTTCCCCCACAGATATTTGATCTAACTTCAATCTGCAAGTCCCAATATTTTAATTTCTTTCCAACCATTTTCCCTCAATCCTATCATTAGCAACATCAACAAAGCAGACATTCTTTTTGTTAACTGTTATATCAAGCAGGTTATCAACAAGATGCTTATTTTCATAATGAGTATTTATTTTCCTGGGATCTTTGCAAATCGCTCTTCCATGGAGCTTTATGAACTTAGAACCTGAATTTGTGTGGAGGTAGCCATGCCTAAATTCCTTGGAATACAATTATAGCCCTTGTTTTTGGTTATTGTAAGCATAAGAAATGGTGTGATAATTAAGATGGAGCATAATTCCCCTCCCCATCAACTATTTGAATCTTGCTCCAGCCTAGGAGTTGGTACCCAGCCCTGAATAAGCTGTTATGGTCCATGCCTTTCTCACATCTTCACTAGGGAAATAATAAACTGATAATCCATTATGGAAGCAGGAGTCAACTTCAATCTTGTAAGATTTTTGTTGTGTAAAGTCTACCAACTGGAGGGGGGTGGCGAATAGTGACCTCAATCCTGCATGTGTAAATTTACATCTTTTATTAGAGAAGGATTCTTGCAGTTAACAATATAAATGAGCATTGGCAAATTGGAGACCCTTGTTCTATTGCCTGCCCACCACCTCTCCGCTTCCTGCTTTATTTGGAACTTAATTATTTCAGTCACCAAGGTCATCCCGTTTGTGGGGGAAAGGGGGTTTATGGATCTAATTGATGTATGTGAAGACTGGTTGTTCTTAAGGCTCCGACCACAAAGTACGTGGACTATAATGCGACCGATTTCTGATTGCCCCCCCCCCTCCGCGCGCCCCACCCACCCACCTACCCCCGGCCAGCCTGGGTCTCTAAAGGAGGCCTGCGTTGCTTAGCTGTAAAACCTGAAAACCCAACCAAACGCCACTTCATTGCACTTGACCTGCCAAGCCACCCCACTTCATTTGCTTTCAGGCAAGCGGGGGAGGAGGAGAACCTGAACGGGAAGGGGGCTACCTCCGGCATAGCCGCCGCTCTAGCCGAGAAGTCCCTAGACCCAATTTGGATTCTATCCCGCCAGCCTCTCAAATGGCAACCAAAGCAAGAACGCAGCCAGCGAGGGAGGGAGGGAACCGCGAGCGACGCGGTCGTGGCGGCCGCTGCCTCGTCTTTGCGCCAAGAGAAAGCCGAAGCCGCCGCTCCTCGCTCCTCGCCTACAGTACCGCGCGCTCGCTCGCTCGCTCCTCCGCCATCCCGGCGCGCGGTTGCTATGGCTATGGCCGTCATGCCAGCAACAAGCGGCGCCACGTGACGCGCCCGGCGATGGCTGCTGCTGTCGTAGCCGCTGCTTGGCGGGGAGGGAGACCTTGAGCAGAGCGGCGGCACAGGCACGCGTTCCCGGACGCGCCATAGGTCGCCTCGTCAGCCCCGCTTTCTGAAGCCTCGGCGCCTTCGTTGCCTCACTCGCCTACCCCCGTCCCGTCTTCCACCCCTCCCCCAACGCCGTCTTCGCACGCAGCAGCTGCAGCTTCGATGGACGGACCGTTCCTGCCACCCTTGGATGTTCCGCTATGGTGGGTGCCGAGCTGGGGAGCGCCGATTGCAAAATAGGGGGTGTCTTTACAAAAAAAAAAAAAAAGTCTGGGAGCATGAGGGGTGGGGGGAGGAAATGGAGCGCGAGCAAAAGAGGGTTGGTGGGCTTTGCCTTCAGGCTCGGTTGGCCGGGTGGCTCTCCTTTTCATTTTGGGTTTTTTGTTTTTGTTTTTAAAGGGTCATCATCATCATCATCATCATCATCTTAATGTGGCGCATTGATCAGAGGCCATCTGCATATTCAGGCAACCGCCACAAGCAGCTGCAGCAGTCAGTCTCTTCTTTGTGTGTTGTCAGCTGGCTTTGCAGCAGGGGTGTTGCCTAAAAGATGGTTTATGTGTTAATGGTGGGGGGCATGATAGCTTGTTTTAGTGGGGGAGGACTTTTAGGGGAAATGCGTGTACAAACACCATACACATTCACACACGGGTATTTTAGGTAATGATTTACCCACAGAGTTGTCTATGGATCTACCTATCAAGCCTCCTAAAACCATGCAGGCGAGCTGGCAGGTGAGCAAAGGTTCCCCCCCCCCCTCTCTCAGGGTGGCAGAGGGATTATTTTTGCAACATTATTGGTCAAGCAAGCAAGAACTTACGTGCCCACCTTTTCTCTCCTTGGATTAAAGGATGGAAGAAGATGTTCACCCCTCTACTGCTGTGCTTCATATGAGGCTCTTGAAGGTGGTGGAGAAATCCTAGAAAATGGGGGTTGGGATTTTGGCGGGTACCTCTGAGATATGTGGGAGAGGAGGAAAATGTAGATGTGACTGGGATCAGGAGGATGGCAAAGAATTTGACAGCCTTTTTCCCCCCCAGAGAGCCCTTTTTCCTCAAACCATTGTTTCTCCTCCCAAGCCCCCTCCTTCTCTCTTTGTTCCACATCTCTCCTTGTGACTCCAAGGCTATTGGGCCTAATCTTTCATTGCTGCTATTGAATAGCTCTGTAAAAATCTGGCAGTTTTGTTGGTTGTTGATGGTCTCTGAGCTTGATTTTCATTTTGTAGGTGTTTCATTGCTATACCATGTAATCTTTTTAGGCATTGAATTCAGTTTAAAAGTTGCTGAAATGCTTGTAAAAGCACAGCCAATCTCTGAGACCACCAATGTTCAACCTTGACATACATACATACATACATACATACATACATACACATACACACAAACACACACACACACACACACACATTCATATTCTCCTCTATTGTAACTGGCAGCTTTTCTCCTCAAATTGAAGGGGGGGGGGTAGGAGAGATTAAAAAAAAAGAATTAACACCCACCCTAGTTGCAAATAGCCCACTTCTCAAGTGTTTTTTCTACCTCTCTACAACTATTCCATTAATTCCGACCACACACAAGTATCATGCCATGTAAAAAACTTGCCTTCCTCCTCTCTTCCAGGGATGAGATCTGAAAGAGATTTTTTATTATTATTATAAAGGTGAGATTCCTTGAAATGTAAAGACCTGGTGTTGCCCAAGGTCACATTGGTTGTTGTTTTTTGTTAGGGTCCAATAGCGAGCAGAGCTTAATGATTATAAGAGTAGAAGGCAGCTCTAGCCAGGGTAAGCAAAGAGATGCATTGCTGAATTTTCCTTTTCTTCCTTGACAAAACAGATTGCATTCTCAAGCTGAGGACTTTCTCACTGACTGGGCCGTGTTTGTTAAAGCATTTCTGAAAGGCTGCCCATAATGTGTTCACAAAGGGTACTGAATTCTGGAGTTAGCACCTCACCCTCCCCTCCTTCCATTTTGATGATTTGAGGAAATAGTGTAGACAGGAATTAGGTTTGCGGCTGGAGTTAAGGTTGCATTTGTGTGTAGAGATGCATGTCTTTTGTAACTGAGCAGAAGCTATATGTTTGGTCGCTGTCAAATTCTCTTGGGGTGGAGTTGAACTGGGAAGGTGGAGGGCTTTAGAAGGAGGGTTGTTACACTGGATTCGTTGCCAAAATGCAGGTGACTGTGTAGGCTGCTTTATTTTTAAAGGATCACTCCCATCCAAATAACTGACGGCTGTGTTTTTATTTGTCTGGGTTAGTTCCACAAGTGGACAATGCATTGTTCCAGGGATAAGCAACTTTATACCCTTCAAATGTTTGACTGCAAATACCACAGACCCAGTCACCGGAGAGGAGAGGATTTGTAGTATAGGGCACCTGAATCTACAGCATTTAGGAAGAATAGTTTGATCTCTAGTGAAAGCTCTGTATAGAGAGAACTCAGCTGGCAAACCATGTTTTGTCACCCACTCTGTTGCCTGCCCCCGTACCCGCTATCCAGTAGCAACAACAAGGGAAAGGATTTTCCAGGACAAGAAAACAATGCAGTGGCTGTCCTCTCAGTACATGACAAGGTGAGGGATTCTGTCTAGGAGAATCGGGACCTTGTCTAGCTCCAAAATGGCAGACAATCCAGCTTCTTTTGAGTCAAAGATCTGCTATATAAATGTTTGCATTTCTTGAACAATTCGTAACATAGATTAAGTTATGTCTTTTTCTACATACAAAGTTGTTTGCACAGAACTA